TCAGTAGGATAGTTATCACAATAAAAGTAACAACCAGCCATAAAAGTTTAAACATTTAAACATTTGAATAAAAAAAAACTCCACAAGGGGCCAACAACACAGACATGGTTTAGAGCAGTGATACTCAACCCGAGGCTCTGGAGCCACATGTCTGTTGACAATAAATGTCTGTTATGTAAGAGTTCAATGATCTAATTGCTTGGAAACAGACAGCACAAGTCGACATGTTGCTGATGTATGACACGATCCATAAAGATACCTCGTGTCATGTTTTGTTTTTTACTCATTTATTTAGTATTATTGTCTGTTCCTGTTTCTTTCAGATCCTGCTCCTCATGTTTTCCTGCCTTGAGCCTCCCTGCCCTGATTGTGCTCACCTGTGTCTCGTTATCCCCTGATTGTCTGTGTGTATATATATTTGTGTTTCCTCCCTCATGTGCCAGTTCGTAGTGTGTTCCTGTGTGTCACCTTGTTCCAGCTTTTTTCCTAGTAAACTTATAGTGATCTTTGACCATGCCTGCCTTACCGTTTTGCCTTTTGCCTGTTCCCTTTGGATTTGTTTGCCTCGAAGATTTGCCTTTCTGTGTACTGACCTGGACTGTTATTAAACTCTGCCTTATCCTGAACTCAGCTACGTGTGAGTCTGCTTCCCTGTCTCTATCTGGTTTTGATAATGTGTCCTTGACTATCTGACTTATAACAACATCTATGATGCTTTTCTGACACCAAATCAGTTTGATGTGGTCTCAGAAAGGAAAGTGAAATGAACTCTGCATCATCTGGTGGTTGTACATAATGTGTTGAACACAGAAACAATACTTGTGAAAGTAATAGGATTCCTTTTTGTGCTGGGAACATTAACCCTTTGCGAAGTCAGCTGGTATGAAGAGAAATAAAGGTCTGCAAACAAACTCTGTTCTCTTGGATGAAAGTGCCTGAGTACCTCACTTGTTCACTAAAATTACTTAAATGAGTATTAAAGTAATTTGAGTGTTTAAAAAATAAACCAAATAGTTTGGTGGCTAAACCTTACTTCACTGCGAGCAGGTGTTAGAACTGACTTTTTACACATCTGGAATAACAGCTGATTTCCTTTTGCACTGGATCATATTTAATAACATTAACCTGAAGTTGAACTTTAGAATGACTTTAGAATACATCTCGTACTTAGATGTTCAACAATGTTCATGTTTATTATGAGTCACATTTGAAACTTGACCTCACAAAGTTCTTTAAGGTTATTTTACACAAGTTATGAACATAAATCAATGTTTGTGTATGTTGGCATGTTGCTGTGTATTTGCATGTGTCCGTATACTATTGTTAGCATAATGTGGAGATTCTGGCACCAACATCGCAGTGAATTGTTCTTCGTTCTTGTTTGTTTATTTAAGATAAATATTGAATGTGCAACATTGGATGTGCATTTCTCTTTGTTTTTGTTTTTTCCAGAAAACATGTCCACCCAAAATGAATAGCTATATTTCACTCATGAACTTGCTACATGCATATTTTTTATACTTGCATTTGTTCATAATGGAGAATGTTGAGAAAACTATTGAAGTTTTACATTTTTCAAAAAACATTATTTTTGACACACACAAACGACCCAAGAAAATATATTGAGTAAGCTCTTTACAAAAGTCGCTGTGGTTTACTTCTAGACTTTATTCTTAAAGGTTTAAATCAGTGGCCATTATGTTGATGAGGATTTATTTGTCAACAAACAACTTTAATCATGCATAGTTATTGACTATCAAATGGAAAAATTACAGCATAAACCTTCTGTTTTGGACAAGCTAGTCGTGCTTAATAATAAAGAAGTACTTAGTAAAAGACTGATTTACCAAAAAAGAAACTGACAAAGGCTCTTCTGCTATTATTATCAAACCTTTACTGTCAATCAACTAATTGTGTTAGACCTTAAGCCAGGATAGTCACTTCCCCATTCTTTTAAACACTGACCAACCACCACTACGTTAACACTTTCATGTCCTAAAAAAATATTTATGAACTACAATTTTCATGATTATCCACGAAGACATTTCCCTGAGAGCGTTACAAAATCTAAATGACTATTGAAAGGGGCCAAACTCAACAGCTTTTGTCATATCACTTCATTACAAATGAAAAGGCATTTTTGTTATCAAAAGATGTCCTTGCTCAGTTAATCATTTTCCAACTAGGCTAGACTTTAAACATCATGGCTTTGTTACATGTAGAACATTTCCACAATTGTGACAGCAGCAGATTTCTGTGTCTTGTACAAATTAATAGAGTTTTTAACAAGAAATCCTGCCGAACTATCTGATGTGGGGCAGCTGTAAGTGTGTGCCCACCCTCGTTAATGGCCCTGGATAACAGTCCTCATTATGAGCACACTCCATTTAAATGAGCCATAATAGCACCTCCTGATAATCAACCTGATAGGTGGCCCCTTTGGACTACGTATCCTTTGATTGGTCGGCTGGATGGCGGTGTGGAGTCACTGATAGCCTATCAAGACGGAGGTGGGAAGGGCTGGCTGGCTGTTGGCCAATAAAATTGATGGGACCCATAGGACAAAACTTGGCTATCAGTGGATTCTAACACCAAGTAGATGAAAGGCAGTGATGTTAGCATTGTGTTTGTGTGTGTTTCATATAGGATGGTCTCTTGTGGGAACTTTTAATCCTTAAAGCATCAAGTATAAACCTTATGAATTATGTGACTCTTCACTCCTTTTGCTGTCTGTAGGGACTTGGGTTGGGAACTGGAGGGTTGCTGGTTCAAGTCTCAGTGCAGACTAAAATATGGAAGTTGGTCTGGAAGCTGGAGAGGTCCCGAATACTGCCAAGGTGCCATTGAACAAGGCACTTAACCCCCAACAGCTCTGGTGCGCTCCCTGCTTGGCAGTGTGTAGACATCTCTCCACTAATGCATGTCCACAGGTCCTGTTTGTGTATATATATGTATTTCATTCCTATGTGTGAGAAGTATGTCTCTCAGTAACAGAGTGTAAACCAGAATTTCCTTCAGGGATTAATAAAGTATATTGTAAAATCAATTTATGACAAACACTGAATATGCTATCAAGCAATGTATGGTTAGCTAGATATCAATTAAATTATACTATTATCTTACAATACAAGTGGAACCACAGACTTCTATAACATCACAGACATGCTATTTGTCTAATATTTACATGATGTAAACATGACATGTTGTGAACACAGATAACAATTCAAAAACTCAAAAGCCTGTGCAACAGCAGTAGATGATTAAGATTAAGATTAAGATGAACTTTTATTGATCTCCACAAGGGGAAATTTCAGTTTTTACACTCTGTAAGTCATGAACACACACATGCAGAAACAGGATGCTTTGGACTTGCACTAATGGAGAGATGTCAGAGAGATGGAGCGGCCCACCGTGGGCGCTCCTGAGCTGGTGGTGGGGAGGGGGTTTGGTGCCTTGCTCAAGGGCACCTCGGTAGTGCTCAGAAGGTGATCTGGCACCTCTCCAGCTACCAGACCAACTTACATATTTGGTCCGGCGACCTTCCGGTTCCCAGCCCAAGTCCCTACAGACTGAGCTACTGCCGCCCATTGCGATGGTGTCATCAGCATAAAAATGATACATGGCATTAGACACGATTTTACACAGGTTATGGCTATAAATGGAATAAAATGGGTCCTCAAATCAAACCTTGGGACACCCTTTGAGACCTCCAGAAAGGCAGAGGTTGAGGTCCTGCCATCTGTATGTGTTGCGTTCAGGCTGACAGATAGTTGGCTTGTTTTGATACGCCAATATGCCGGAAGTTGATCAATATGATCAGTGATCTAATTTATCAAATGCATTTGACGGATCGATTAATTAATACACATTTTTTCTAAAATGTATTTGTTTCAATAATGCCATTTAAAACCTTAAAGATCAAAACTGTTCTTTGCTCGCGGCTGTAACCATGTTTAATTCTACTGTAAAAATGTGTATTTTAGTATGGGGCTTGGTTGGGAGGGAATCACCTCTGGAGCAAGCCTCAAGTCGTTTGAGGCAGTGCCGTTTTTTAGCATTGCTTCTTTTATTCAGCTCTGGAGGTTTACACTTAGTAACACAGGTGCTTTCTATGGAATAATTATTTTAAAGGTTTCTTTTAAAAAACGTTTAACTCAAACTAATGTCATTCAAAGGCGTTTTGTGAATTTCAACACATCACTGACTTTAATCAAAGTTTGACTTTGACTACAAAAGCTTGACTTATATGATTAAATGTTTCAGGCTAAATTGGTAATCAAAACTTTTAAACTCAGCTCCTTCTATTCCTTCCTCCAATCACAGAGTTCAAAGTGAAGAAAATGTTTCTTTGTAGTAGAATGGGTGTCACTGAGGTTTGTTGATACCAGCATCCTAAAGGATGCACGTTTTCAGCAACATGTGTGGTTTGGCATATTGTACTGTATCTGTACTTTGGTACAGTGCAGGTTAAGGTTGCGTGTGCTTGAGAAGTATGTGACCCTTTTTGTAAATGAGAGAGGAAAAAGGATGGAATGATAAAAAACCTTTGGCCATCTCTCCCTTCCCTGGAGGGCTGCCTTCCCCTTTCATCCGATAGCCTGGAGCAAGAGAAAGGGAACAGACAGGGTGGAAAAGGGAGAAAGAAGGAAGATGAAGAAAGGAAATAAAAAGAGGTAAAGAATAAAGGATAAATAAATAACAGACAAAGACTAGTTAGGGACGAATGTGGATCAACAAAAAAGAGAGAAAAATGAGAGGAGAGGCATCTTTCAGTCGTCACCTTTCATTTGTCTTCATGAATGACTCCAGTGGTGTAAACACATGGACCAGAGAGCAGTGCTCTCTCTCTCTCTCTCTCTCTCTCTCTCGCGCTCTCTCTCTCTCTCTCTCTCTCTCTCTCCCCCCACCCTTTCTCGTATCCTCTCATCTCTGTTTTTGTTCCTCTATATAACCTCTAACACAGACCCTGTCCCATCATAGTTATGTTAGGTGGACAGGAAATATCAGAGAGCTGCACATTTGTGACACACATGTTTTAGGTCTCATTTTGGAGCTGTTTGATTTTTAAACATCATTAGATGATGCATTAAACACGATTGTTCATCTGCGCTGACTGCAAAATCAAACATTTTGGACTGAACACACAAAACAGCAGATCTTTTTATTTAGTGTCATATCTTCAGGTAAACATGACAAACCAGTCAGCCCTCATCCTGAGAATGGTCTCACTGCTGCTGCTGCTGCTGCTGCTGCAAGGCACAGGTAAGATCTGTCAACATTATTACAATCTTAGCAAGAAGTGTCAAAATAATGTGTTGATAAGTGCTGCATTAAGGGTAAATACTTTTGCACTTTGCAAACGAAACATGAAATGACTCAAAATGACTCAAGGGTTGAAATCTTTCTGCAGGTGCTCAAACTGATGAGTTTTTAAAAATTGCCTACATTTTTGTGTGCTACAAAATGTGTTAGAGCACAACAACCCAACAACAAACTCTATGTTTATTTCAAAGTGAAGTTAGTGTTTAGATGATTTCCTTTTAAATGTGTTTTACAAGATAACAGATAGATATTCACAATAGTTCAGTGTATGCTTTGGTATCATTTGATCTCTTATGTTTTAAAATTACGAATTGTTATACTCACTGTTGTTGAGTTAAAAATGTGTATTTCTGTTGAATGATGATAGAAGCAAAGATGGAGATCATTACCAGTAAAGAAAATGTTCCGGTGGGACAAGAGATCACAATGCTGTGTCAAGGTGAGTCTTATATATCGTATTTAATGATTCATCGAGCTTGTCCAAGAAAGTTACATTGAATTTTGAACCTTCTCTAGAACTCTGAACCTTTGTTTCCTCTGGTTCTAGCTGGTGGAGAGGGAATCATAACATGGCAGAAGGATGGGGAAGATATTGAAGAGAAGGTTTCTACGTTGGATGAGACCACCTCTAAATTCCATATTATGAAGGCCACGATGCAAGATGCGGGCAAGTACACTGCCCTACAAAGGCAGAAGACCTTAAGTCGCCAGAGTGTAGAACTGAGAAAAATGACTTTAAAGTATTTTTGTTGTCCAGCCAAATGAGTTGCAGGCAGAATATTGGAAATGTGGCAATTCTTTGTCTTTTTAATCAGATTATTAATGTTCATAAAAATCTTGAGCTTAAACATGACCTTTGACCCTTATTTGGAGTTAAGGTACTCTGCCGTTGCATGGCCTGTACAATAATAAGGGGTCATGCCAAGGCAAAAGGCATTAACTTCCATTTGATAGCTCCCTTGGTTGCTGATCACTATATTAAATCAGTATATGATAATAATTATAACATATACATGAAATCTAGTGATCATGGCACAATTAAGTGCTTGATGACAGATAGTAAAACAAAGGCATAACGCCTTAACTCCCCTGCAGTAATACAGTAACTTCACTTTGATCCGCAGCAAAACAAAGGCAGAAGACCTTAACTCAGTTTGAGCATTCCTGAATGCTGCAGTTCAAAGGAAAAGACCCTGATGAGTGAAGTTACTGGACTCTGCCTTGGTTTCTTCAGGGCTTTTGGAAGTTAAGGCAAATACAACCTACTATTTTCTCAGAAGAACAGCACAATTGACTCAAGATATTTGTCCACATGATAAAGCACATCTGTAATGTTCCAAAAATGACAAAAACTCATTTTCGAAAAAATTGAAGTTACTGTCTTTTGCCTTTGTAGGGCAGTACACCTGTCACTGTGACTTCGACAACGGAGATGAAGCTAAAGTTCAGAAAATGATCTACATTTATGGTATGTAAATGACTAGCTGCACACCTTTGACTATGATTTCCCTCATCTGTACTATATTGTATAGAGACTAAGGCACCCTAACCTTCTCCCCTTCTGTCAGAGGGTCCTTCTTTTGGAGGCACCTCGACTTACCATGAGTTTCTGGAGGGCACAGATGGCATGGTGCCGTGCCTGGTGACAGGACAGCCAGCTGTTGATGTTCACTGGTTCAGAGACGGAAAAGAAATTTCAACCAATGGTAGGACAAGAACATGGCCAAGTGGGGAATATAGGGCTTTAGTATCTTTAATCTTAATGTTTTGAATTTACAGCCCAGATCTTTACCATTGATTCATTCATCAATTTTGTTCTCAAGCGCAGCAAGCAGCTGCTTTGAGATGACCATGATGAAAATGTAGTTGTTTATGAAACAGGCTGATACTGATTTTAATGTCTCTTTAAAGGGGACATATTATGAAAACATATTTTGAACATATATTTGAGTAACCTGAGTGTCTACTGACCCACAAAATGTGAACTAAACCCATCCAATCCTTTGTTTGTGATCTGCATAAGCAGGGATGGCACCAGTATGTTTTTTTCTCCCGGACTTGACTGATCTGTTGAGCTGCTGTGAATAGTTGAGTTTCATGAATTCATAGTTACTTTTTAAGTTCTCTCTTTCAAAAAAAAAAAAAGCAGACATGCTAGACATGCAGATTCAGTCAGCCAGACAAAAGTAGCGACTTAACTTGTCTTCACATAGCCTGAACTGTAATATTGAGGTCCTACAGAAATTTGCTTCAGATGCTTGAACTGATATTATAGTTTAAATTATAAAGAATGTTTTGGGTGCAGATTTTAAACATGTCTTTTGCTTCTTAACCTCCTTTCTCTTTTGTGTCTAAGATGTTTTGGCCTTCATCCATCCATGTTGTTTGTCCCTCACTCTGTTCCTCTGTGCTTTTGTGCTTTTATTTCCATCTTCAGCAGGAAGAGGTGTGCGTCATCTTCCTAATAACACACTCTTTATTCAAGGTGTGAAAAGAGAAGATGCTGGGATTTACTCATGTCATGCCGAAATCAGAGGAAGGCCAATCGACAAGCAACTAGCCATCTCTGTTGTTGTCAATGGTCAGTATCTTTTTCACATCAAGATCCAATAACAGTCAGAGATCTGCGGTTATGATACAAAGATCTGGCTCTTTCAAAACATGATGCATGTAATAGACTATGGTTGAGGACTAAGTGGTTAAGGATTATTCAACTTTTAGTATTAAAACAACATTTTTCAGTCATAAGGACATCAAAATATGTATTAAGTGTAAGATAAGCATAACTTTGACATAACTTATGACTCCATTCTGCAGCTCATCCTACTGTGCGTCTGAGAGAGGAGGTGAAAAAAGTGATGGCTGGACCAGAAACCAACGTTACTTTACTGTGTTTGGTAGCCGGCCATCCACAACCCAACATCACCTGGACCATGTATGTCTCGACTTGTGGCGAAAAAAAACAAAACGAGAATATATTAAAAATAAATGTATATATGCTTCCACATTTTATTTGCTTCATCCCTTGATAACAAGTGATTATTGGTCATTTTCTCAAGATCTCAGCTTATTAATCTTGTTATTTGTGGATAATAATGTTGGTTCCCCCATGATAACAGATAGATTAATCTCATTGTCCTGAGGTAACGAAGCTTGTTTTCTTATGATGATGGGAGAGGTTTCTGGTCGAAATAGAAAACAAAACAATAGGCTGGTCAATACATAGGACCAGTAACGATGTAATATAACACATGAAGGGGTTAATGGAATTGTGAAGCGTGCTTAGTTTACAAGACAGCTTTAAACTATATAAATAGTTTTAATATAAATAAACTAATAAAAGGGACTCGTGGTTGAGTCCACGTCCAAACATTGGAGAACATCACAGGGAACGTGACAGCTACTTTACTGACTTTGTGGTTTATTTTGAGTCTTTTGTCAGATACAGCCATATCACTACAGGATTTCTCCATAATTGAAGGCTGTCCACGTTGTGTACCCATTCTTGTGCTCGTGCATGAACTGTACTGTGCAGAAGAAAACCTCTTCCAAGCCTGCAAGGGCCAAGGAAGTGTACAACTTCAAGCACTCACACTAGTCAAACAAACTGGACTTCAGGTGTGAAGTGTGCTTAGGCACGGTACGGCTTGCCTATTGTGTGCGCGCCCTTAAGATTATTTCTGTTTTCATTGTGTGCTTTTGCAACTTTTGATAAATTAGAAAATTGAGTTGAGATCTTGAGAGAACAACCACAAATGACCCCTTATCACAGATGAACAGAGTAAATCAAATGTACGGATACATGTCCTCTTAGGGCTTCCGTATCTGTTTATTACAAATGGGACTTCTTTCTTTTGACATTCTTAAGTGTTTAGACACTTGGCATCAATCTAGCTTTGAAAGTGAATCCCTTAAGCATTACCAACGTGTATAACAAATGTGTATTTTGGCTGTATTTCCTCCTCGCAGGCCGATGCTGTTTGACTCTTCACATCATCAGTTTAACTCAGACCACAGTCAGCTGACCATCAGGTCTGTCGCCAGGGTGGACTACGGAGAGTATGTCTGCACTGCCAAAAACAAGATCTCTGAGAGCAACGCGACCATCATGCTTTATGTTTTTGGTTAGTGCAGTTAATCTTGCTCTGAAGAGACAGCAAATGGACATGGGCTGTGGAAAACGTATTCATTTTTTTATGGACATGTTTCCTTTCAGAGGCCCCAGAGGTGTTTGTGTCAGTAGAGTTGCTGAGCATGTCAGTGGGTGAGGGTGTTTCTGTGTCCTGTAACGTCTCTGGGCACCCCCAGCCTGAGCTGCATTGGATCAACAAGCACAATGGACAAACTCTGGTATTAAAACACATTCAAACATGCTTCAACATGCTGCCACTTCTTGGTCATCCTAATCATTGTGGTATCCAATTAGGGGACAGAAGTCAAATAGCTAATAAATAGTTAACTGTCCTGATAGTATAGTCTTATGGAAAGGCAGCCTAAACTGAAAGTCCAAGGCACTCTTATGTAGGCCTATATAAATCCTTTATTTAACAAGGATAACTGACATATTTTCTGTGTGCTGAAATCTCATAATGTCAGGCTTCTACTCAAACACAAGACACAATGTCTACAGATTTATGTATGGTCTCAGCTGTGACTAATGTTTATTGTCCCTCTGTATATCAGGACCTAACCACTGGTCGTGTCCATGTTGTTGATGGTGTGTTGACGATCAGTGAGGTGGTGCCCTCTGATGGTGGGCTGTATTCCTGCATGGCTGTCACCGCTTCTGGAAACGCTTCAAGAGATGTTGCAATTATCAGTAAGAGTTTATGTTTGTGTTTATGTTTGTGAAAAAAAAGTGAAGTAAAAATGTACACACACTTTCCAATTTTCATGTCGGCTATTTGTTTCTCTACTTTAAAAAATAAATACATTATTTTCTGCCATGCCTCCTGACCCACAGCCCAGCCCGGTCCCCCTCACTACCTGTCTGTCGCACCTGGACCAACATCTGTCCTCTTCTTCCTCAAAACCCCACCCGTCAATGGAGGATCACCCATCACAAGTTACGTCCTGCAGTGGAGGCAAAGTGCAGCAGAGCAGTGGAAGGAGATCGTCACAGCCCCTTCTTTGGGTAGAGGTAAAGAGGTTTGCGTTTGTGTATCATAGAAATTAAGTCAACCGATAACTCTTTAAACTAGTTAGACCACAAACTCAATCTGCAATGAATTCCAGAATAATATTTTAAATCAGCATGTTAGCTTACTGTGTGTCTTTCTGTATTTCTGTGATTGCTCTCCAGATCCTTTAAAGATCACCTCCCTTAAGCCGTACACGCTGTACATGGTGCGATTAGCTGCCATGAATGTAATGGGACCAGGACAGTTCTCAGACACAAACACCGTCCGCACACATGGCATACGTAAGTGTCATACACACAACTACAGAACATTTCCAGCACAAACTGTCAGCAGCACACACTGAATCCATATGCATTGTGTGTTTGGGTTTATTGTTGCAATTTATTTGTATTTTTTGCAAGACCATTTAAATCACTTATATTGATGGATGTGGCATGTGTAATATGTCTCATACTTTGTATGTTGATGTTTTTTTTACCAATCAAGACTTTTACTTCACGTCATCCATCACTTACTGTTCTGATTTATGTTTCATGCAACCATCATCACAACATTTCCATGACATCATCATATGGGACCTGATGTCCTTTCATGCTGCCATGTTGTCATCCATCCTCAGAGGGTAAAGTACACACTGTGATTTATTAAACTATTCTAGAATTAAATACATCTAAATCTGAAGATGAGGTGTTGATTTTGATCCATTGCTCCTTTTTGTAATGTGTTTTCATGATTGGTCATTAGCTTCCTGTCTTTGCCTTCTCTCTGCAGGTGAACCAGATAGTCCAGTTTTGTCCACTGATGCAATGAAAGTAGACGGCAACTCATTCTCCATCCCTCTTAAACAGACCGATGATGGAGGAACTCCTCTGCAGCACTTCAACATACGCTACAAACAGGTATGCACAGTGACTCAGAAGCTTAAAACAAAACATCTCCCATTGCAAAGTGACATTTAGGGCGAGATTATCTTTGTATCACGTTGCCTAGGCAAAAGTGAGCTCTACTCAATACCAAAAAGAGAATTTGTATGTTTTCTCATTTGGCTCAGTTATGACTCCTGAGAAATGATTATGGTTCATACTCACAGTAACTCCTGTGTGAGATGTCTTTAGTGTTTAGTACAGTTCATTCATCTCAGCTAAGAGAAAGATGAGAGTAGTTCAAGCTCTCACATTAGTCTCGATTTGATCCCAGCAATAAAAAAAAAACCCATCAAAGTTATGTCTCATACAAGCCCATTGTACATAGCTCAGCACCACAGGGTACCCCTAGGTAGGAACAACCGTTTCAGAAATACCTTTGTTCCCTTGTCCATCAAAGCCCTCAACAGTACCTGAGCTGTAATGTGTGTGTATATGTGTGCATGTATGAGGTTGTGTGAGTGTGTGTGTGAAGATGTGAAACTGTACCTGCACTGTTTATCACTTTTCTTAACTATTACATATTTATGGTTTTAGTAATCCACTTGTATGGAATTTATTGATTATTGAACTGACATGTTTTACCAACGAATGAATGTATTTAGTTATTTTGCTACTGCATCAGAGCTCTGTGAAGTCCAAGACACATTTCCCACTGGGACAATAAAGTTAATCTTTAATCTTTAATCTTTCCAATAATGAGACTAAGAAGAATGAATTCATGCTGTACTTTGCTTTTTCTGTTCCATCCCGTCTGTGTACTCACACAACTATGTGTTCATTTTACACACAATTAACATCTTTCATTAAACATCCTCTTACAGTGGAGACATTTAGTCAACTAGATTACTTATAAACTAAAAAGGCATTGGTCTGTTTTTTCAAACAAATCATTTATTGTTTGATTTTCATAGCAGGAAATGTATGGTTCCAGCTCTTTAAAAGTGAGGAATTGTTGCTTCTTTAATCCTTGTTAACTTTTATTAATTAAGAATCTCTGACTTTTGGACCGTTGATCAAACAGCTCAGGCTAAAAAAGACATTTTAGAAAACTTTTAAACTTTCGTTGGTGTCCCCCTTTTGGATGTATTTATGGAAATCTTCTGACATGTAGTTTTGTGTCTGTAGTGTGGCACTTATCACCAGAGCCTCACCAGAGCCTCACAGTAAGAAGATTCTTTCTTTGAATCCAAACTGGAACAAAAAATATACTTGCAGTTAGTGGCAAAAAAAGAAACACAAAGGATAAAGATACATTGAGTAAATAATGATGAGGCACTCAAAGGAGAAATGACTCAGATACAGTGATCACAGAATGAGTCAAAAATAAGATGCTCAGTGTAGTCTCGTGAGATCAGAAGGATCAACAAATGAGCACAACATTTTTTCCTATCACATAATTTTGCAACAAACATTGTTTTGGATGTTGGACTATGTAGGACCAAACTTCTTTGGCAAAAGCACAGCAGGACAGTATTCCACAAAAGTGTATTTTAACTAAATACCTTTCAATGGTCAAGTGCCTATTTAAAGGTTTTTCTAACCAAATACTACTTTCTTTTCAAATTCTGTTTTTCCCCATTCAGGACAAAGAGGGGACTGAGTGGAAAGAGATGCAGCTGTCGTCAGGTGCCGACTCTATCTCTCTTCAAGGCCTGTCTTTCATCTCAGCCTATCAACTGGAAGTCACAGCGATCAATGCCAATGGTTCCTCTATCCCTGCCGTGTTCAACTTCACCACCGGTGCTCAGCCTGGTACGCAGCACTACACCTACACTGGAGCCTGTTAGCTAAAGATATTTCATCAACTTCTAAACTGTTGCATGGCAGTCAACAATAAAAATGTTTGTTGTATTTTGACTTTCCCTTTCTCCCTCCGGTCACAGCAAGCAGAATGACCAAAGGCGGCGTGGTCGCCATCGTCATGGTGATCTTCTTGGTGTTGTTCCTTGTGGTTGACGCCTCGTGCTGCTACATAAACCGCTGTGGCCTGCTCATGACCGTCGCTGTGAGATTGTTTGGACAAAAAGTTCCAGGCCTGCGAATGCTGGACGATGCAGAGGGGAATACTAATGGGTGAGCAGGGTTTAGAAGAGTCTGAGAGAGAGCATGTGTACATTCATGTATCATGGAGGCTATATTTGCACAAAATAAAAAACATTTTTTTCTTTGTCCAGCTAGTTTCATTCAGTTTATTTTTGGTGTTGCAGAGAGGTGAAGCTGAAGGGCATGTCAACTCCCAGAGGCAGTCTTCAACAGACAGGGGTTCAGACTATCACTAAGGAGGGGTGGCAGCTCACAGAGGTCACCTGTGACAAAGCTCCTCTCACCAAACACGAGTATGTTCCTTTAATTCTATGTACAGAGCACTAACTTTATCCAACAATTACAGTAAATATGCCTGTCCTTGCAACAATCCAATCACATAAATTATGAGCCTTGAAAAATGTTTTCATGTTTGATCAGTAATCAATTCTTCAAAACTGTAACCCTGGCAGCTCAGGTTCCAGTGTTCTGACAACATGGATTTACCGTGGCTGCTGCCGGAAACTAGTGTTTTAGTTCGGCTAAGAAGAACTGATTTCATGTTATCTATTACGACAATATCACAGTGATGGCAAACGTCAACAATTTGGTGCTAGCAGAGAAAGTGGCATTTATAGAAGATAGCAAAATGTTTGGAATTTGGACTGGAAAACCAGAAATGTGTCGAGTATGCAAGGCTTCAATTTCAAAGTGTGTTGTGAAACTGTTAAAAGTAAAGGCCTGATAATGTTTTCTATTGTTCTGTAATCTGATTATGTATGGGTCAAACTGAACGTTTGTTATATACATCAGTCAATGAGCAATACAATAATGTTTCGAAACACTAAACTATAAACACAAAATTAATGTATTTGTGTGTGCGAGATTGAACTATTTATGACATTTCCCATGAAGTTTCGACAGTATCTTATTGATCCTTTGTTTTTTCCCACAGAAAAACACAACCATGCAAAGACCTTCCCCATGCTGATGCATGAAACCACTGAAACAAGAGAAATGTGAGATAGCATGGAAATAAAACAGCAGACTAACCGAGCCCTCACAGTCTCAATAACGGAGTCAGAGAAGCTGGGGACATTGGAAACATCTTCCACAGGAAAGATGAAACATCACAACTGATGTTTGGGTTAAAACAGCGTGTTTTGAATGATTGAAAGGAAGAATGGCCCACATTCGACCTCTCATGACAACGTGTCCTCTGAATGAGGCTACAGGCAGGAAATGATATTCTTTTGTAGTCTTTTATATGTTGCTCTGTCAGTTCTCACGTACACTAGTACTAAACAAATATCTAATTTTACAGGGTCATTTTGATAACGGTGTTTAACGGGGTAACAATATTGTTTTTGAAGTTAATCTTCAATTGCTTTATTTTCACAATAAATGTTTACCTTTTGCTGCAATTTGAATGTTGTGGACTTGTAGGCATGTTGTAAAGACTTATTTTATTTTTGATAGTTGTTGAGTGTGTTTTGGATATCCTGTGAAATGCAGCATTTTTAGCTATTTTGAAGACCTGTTTTTTCTTAAATCCTCCTACTGTTCTCAAGTTGTTATTAACTTTGAATTGTTGCTGCTCATATGGTTATTGAGGAAATATTTTACTTTTAATGTAACAATGTATTCTGATACTTAGCAGTATTTTATTAACGCTTTAAAAGGCATTTCAGACAAAACTTAACCAACTCACCTTCATGTATTATGAACTGATATTTATTGCTTCCACACTATAAGAGATTTTCATCACAAGAAACTTTGTACATGAGTCCATATTAAGCTTTGTAGCCATAATCTTGATCCCTTTAAATGTTTCAGGTTGAACAGTAACAATGGCAACAAATAATAACCTTGTTTTAATACCTGTACTCAGTACAAACAAATTACAAAATTAACTTATGTTATGATTTCTGACTTATAATTATTTATAAGATAAGTCAAACATTTAGCGCTGTTGCACCTCTTCTGTTTTAAATATTGTCATGTTTGACTATTCTCTGACATATTAATTTTATATTTTGATACTGAACACTGTACATGGTTGTATATACACATGTTGTTGCATCTTTATATTTCATAAAAACATGGAGCAGCTTTTTTTACTTTGTTCTCCCTACGTTAATTCTTTGTTACTAATGGTGATATAATGTCCGTCATCCACTTTTAAATCATAAACACAGAGAGGAAAATGTTTTATGACCAAATCCTTGTGCCCTTTATTACTTCTCAAAAATCGGACCTTTAACCATTGGTTTATTTACATCATTATTGAAGTGATGTTTCTGCTGTGTGTGGTGTTTACCAGAAACATGATCTGACATGCATTAGATTTTAGTTGCAGATGTTGTTTTGATATGAGCTCAAATGTTTTATATTTAGACACAGAGAGCTCTCCTGTTACAGAGATCTTAAGTTGATGTTGTTTTTGAAGTGCAAGGAATAGATTTCTCTGACTTTTACAGAATGAAGATGTGATTTGTTGTTATTTTATCATAATTTCTTTACAGTTTGTAATTTTCCTACATTTTGTGGTTTTGAGATTGCAGCGTAGGCCTACAATGTAGATCTTGTGAGTGGATGAAGTTTGAATATTGAGAGGTTATCTCTTTTAACCAGGCATGCAAAAAGCCATAGAAAATCCACACACCTATCTGTAATAGATTGTATTAACCAGATAAGACGTTTTGTAATTAGTTGAGACAAAAAAAGCTTGAGAAGTTAAAAAAAAAAAAAAAAAAGCACAAGATTTATACAATTTATTTTATGCAAACATTTGTGGATTATATTTTGAATGTGCATAAAGTTTTGGTCATGAGTAAAAGTCTTGTATCACGTGCTATTAATGTCTGTTTTTTTTATTTATCTACCAAAATGTATCAGTGTACAAGCGTAACCACGTAAAATAAATCATGCTATAAATGAAGAAGCCTTAATTTTTCATTTCATTTAGAATTCAATCAGTTTTTCTCACATTAAGGCAGTTCCACTAAGAACTGATGCAGAGGGAAAAAAACACAAATCGGGCCACAGCAACAACATGCGGTAAACTAATTCTCCCCTTCCTCTTTCTCAGGCTGCGTCACATATCACGACACACATTAATTTGATTATTATACCCCGTGTTACGGACCGCTTCATTCTATGAGGGACAAAAAAATGACTAAAGTATAAATAAATAAATAAATGTTGTGAGAAATGCATACAATAATGTATAAATAAATAAATAATTACATAAATACATCAATAAATATATAAATGCTGAAAACAATACATCAATGAATAAATAATAACTACGCTTTGTTAATGAAAAAGCATGTACAACATGGACACAGAAATACATAAATAAATATATGAATATATTTATCTATATATTTATTGATGCATTTATTTAATTATGTATGTATTTATACATTATTTTATGCATTTCTCCCAACAATTATTTATTTATTCATTCATTTATTTATACTTTAGTCATTTTTTGTCCCTCATCATTCAGCCGTATTGTTAAAATAACACAAGAGAAGCTCTGAGTGGCAGCTCTATGTGTTTCAGTGCTGAAACTGTGTGGCCACGCCCCCTGGCTGATACGTTCCTGCTGACTACAAGCACATGACCAGGCGTGTTTACACCTGCAGTGACTCAAAGATACACACGGCAAAGGCAGGGGAACCTTATCTCTGAACCGAAGGAAGAAGAAGAAGAAGAAGAAGAGGTTTTCGTGAGAGACTGTTGTTAAGCTGGGACTTGGTAAGTTATCTTTATTTAGCACAGCTGTTGTTTTCCTTCAGACTGCTGGCTCTTCCGTAGCAGCAGCAGCTGTTAGCTTAGCATGCTAACGTGTGCTGCAGCATCACCACCCAGCCAGGTGAAAGACTACACATTAAATGATGACAGCAGCTATAAAAGACACGACACTAACTGTGTTATATAGCTAACGCCTTAAGCTGTGTTTGTCATCTTCAAATAGCTACATAATCTTTAAAGTAACTGCACGACTGAGCCACTTATTATTAATTGATGACAGCAGGTTTAGCAGCTAAATAAGTAGCTTTACAGGTATCTTACCTACGTGAGGGAGAAGGAGTGACAGCAGCTTTAAGAAGCGAATTTAGTTTACCCAATTTGACTTTAAGAGCTTTTGGTGTAAGACTAAAATGTTGTCTGATTATTCCCTTTAAAGAGGTTGTGACAGAGGACAGTGACTGTGTAACAAAACATCACATGTCATGTTTGGCAAATGCTGATTGTAGGTGTCAGCCATCTAAATAGAATGATAAGGAAGTTGGTCATATGGGTCTTTATTTGTTCTGCTGGCTTGGATAGATTCCTAGATAGATGATAAGAACATTTTAGTCTCTGAAGAATGAATAAATGGTTTGTATCCACATTTCATGTTCTCTTCTTAAGGTCCAAGCATCATCTTCCCAACGCTTTCCCTGTAACAAAGCTGCATCCTCGGCCACTCTCCAGGAAGCAAACCCTCTCCGTCCACCATGGACAACACAGATGTAGAACGTGAGCCCCTTGTCTTCTCTCAGTTTAGTTGTAGTTGTAGTGACTCATTAGTATTTGCCTATGATTTGATTTAATTAATTAAGAATTCTAAACAATGTATATTTAGTATTTACAGTCTGCCATGTGTTTATTCAGTTTATGTCTACTTTTTTATATGTGAATCTTTAAATTCAGATGCATTTTTGTTCTGTTTTGCTCTCACACTAGAGGTGACCCTGGCTCTACTAGATGCGGCCACTGACAAAGATTCAGAGGTGCAGGAACAGGTCAGAAAATCTATGTTGACCTTGGGAAAACAGCAGCCTGACAGAGTGCTGGCCATGTGTCAGGACTACCTTCTGAAACACCCAAAGGTAAAGAGTACACCTCTATTATGTCAAACATCTCTTGAGTGCCAGCAGAAGGATAAGGCAAGAAAACAAACCAACATAACCTAGCTCTAATTATAATTGTTTTTCTCACACACACACACACACACACACACACACACACACACACACACACACACACACTCTAATAGTCTGTTATTAGAAAGGTATTACCACATGAGCACAATTGTATTATCCAGCTCTGCATGTAGTGTGGATGTTATTTGTGTTTTCATGTCTCAAATCTATCTGAGAACACCTCACAGCTCCGTAAATAATTACTGTGACCGCGGTGTGTGATCATACATTAACAGTGAAAGTTGCGAGGGGAAGTCCCTCTTGCCTCTGATTTCAGTGAAGGGTAAAATGTTCTCCAACAAAACTGTTAAACTGAATTGTACTAAGAACAAAGAAGTGAGACTCATATGATGGAAATGTCTGTGGTTTTATTAAAGATTTGTCTTGACTCCAGTAACCCAGCTAACAATAGTCTGTGGCTGCTAATCTGTTAAACCAGGTCACATTCAAAAGCCTCTCAGAACCCCTGGCATGTGGTTTTGTGCCTGTTAAAACAGAATCAAAACTTCACTCTGAGACTCATACATATGTAAATAAGTTGTTTTACTTGACTTGCATTCCTGTCTGAGTGAGTTGAAGTGAAGTTTTCAGATTTCATGCAGCAGGAATCATGATTTTGATCAAACTATTTCTTGGTTAATTGCCAATAAATTAAAGTTGTAAAACACCAGTTAAAATGTCCTTAACCCTTAGATCATATTATGGTTTACAAGTTTTAATGGTTTAAGGCATAAGAATATCTTCCTCCTGCACCTTTTCATTCTTTGTAAAGGCAAAAAATTGAAGTATTTTTCTACATTGTACAGATTAAAAGGAATGAAAGTAAAATATATTTGTCAGAGATAAGAAGCTGACATGTCTTACTGTTTGTAAAGTTACTGAAACAATTCATTGGAGTCGTAAAACTTAATGATTATGCAGCCAAATCTTCCAGTTCGGGTGAATTTCTTTTGATTGGACAGTCATTAAATGATTGACCAAATTCCTGTTGGTTTCCAACAGAACATCTGCCACATGTCTGTCATCATGTAAAACAAAACATACCACCTGACCTGACTCTGCAGCATATTCAGAACATTTTAAATTTTTTGTCTATAGAATAAGTCCTTCATCAAGTCATCGACCAACAAAATTGAAAACTATTACGTAAGCATCTTTCCATTTAAATCACCCGTTAAATTCAGCTCTTTGCCTTTTCTGTGTTTTTTCTTGGGAGCTCATTTGCTTCTAAACTAAATAACAATAGAGCTGTGAGTCAGCTTTTGACGGTGTGATGTTGCAACATCTTATCATGCTGTCACATGCAGTTGCTTTTTATTATCAGATGATGGCATCTCTACACTGAGGAAATGTCTTGGGAAACACCAGTGACAGTTCAAAGAATGGACGATGTGTTACTGTTGAATTTGCTGTGTTGTTTTACTATTTCTCTGTCAAAGCTAGATGCAAATATTTGACCAAATATTTGTTGCCATTGAATTCAGATTAAAAAAAGTGTAGTGCCAGTAATAAGTATTCAATTTTGTCTTTCATTTCCTCCTGCTCCTCCCTTTGTTTTCTTATAGTTGGCAGTGAGCCACAGAGTTGTGATTCTTCAGACTATCGAGCTGATTGTGGGCTGCAGGATAGAGGGGATCAGTAACTCGAGGATAAAGAGCATCATCTCTCTTGCCTCAGAGGAGATGACGCGATCGAAGGTAAAGTGTGGAAAACAATTCATCAGATTTTGTCTGTCACTGGAGAGACGATAAATTATGACTGTGTTTTCCATCTTCCTGGTTCAATCAGGATGTCATCCCTGATTGGCAGCAGGCAGCCAGTAATATCTTGGTTGCTGTGGGTAACAAGCACATCAATGACATCATGGAGGAGATACTGAGCAAGTTTCAGCCAGGGCTCATACCTCACTTCTTTGTGGTCCAGACACTAGCCAACCTTTCTGACTCCAACGGTAAGACAATAGTTCAATAAATAACACAAAGAACTAAACATAAGTACACGTCCACACACACACACACACACACACACACACACACACACCAGGAAGTCATAACATTTGTTTAAAAATACAGGTATTCAGAGTTAGAGGAAGTCTCTAACCTGTTAAACCAATCAAGACATCCCATTTTCAAGACCTAAATTTCCCACACCAGCAGATTTATTTTTAAATTGAAGTCTTGCGTGCCTTGCATATCATAGAAAACAATCTGGTGAATCAAAGTCTGCATTGTTTGGGAGCCTGGCTCTCTCACCTGCTGTTGTTAGGGATATTTTTATACTTTCAAACCTTTTTACTGCTGCCAGTGTTGTCCAGACCCCTCATATTTAACCAATCAGCACAATGACTAAAGCATTACAACTAAGGTTGGAAGCATAAAAACACAACAACATTGTCTGCCTGTTTCTGTCCCTTTTGAAGTGCTGCTGATTTGATTTCTGCTAAATTAAAACCAGAGTTCAACTTCAAACGTCTCTGCCAGCAGCTCCAGAGCCTAGAAACCCGTCAAACACTATTTTTGACTCGCTTTACACGTTTAATGCAGGTATTCTTTAAATTCAATTTGATTTTCAGCGTTATGACATATTAAAACATAGGCGCCAATATGATTCTATATGAATGAATCAAATGAAATGACTCTGATCTGGATCAGGAGCTCATAAATCCGTAGCAGCACTTTGGTCATTCTGAGTTGCCAGCTTCTAAGTAGATTTATTTTGTGTCCACAAAACCTTGATAAACATGGATTTCTGTTGCCTAGCATTTAATTTGTAGTAGAAATATGAACTTGAACCAGCTTTAATACTTTAAAATCACAGACACACAGGGTTACATTGAAAGGATGCTTGTTATGAATCATTTTTCGCTCTTAACAGGTCTTTTGATAACATACTGATTAACTTGGAATGTAAATCATGACTCTATTCCTATGCTATAGTTAGTCCTCCCTTATTTAGCACTGACGTTATCAAAAGGACTACCATGTGTGTGTGTCCCCACATTAAAGAAGGAGAGGTAAGATTTAACATGCCTTTAACATATCTATTCTTCTCCTTATTCTCTAGTCTATGGCATGGTACCATTCTTGAATGCTATTCTAGGCACCATGCTGCCCATGCTGGGCATGGCCAAACAGGACAACATGAAGTGGGTCTTCTCCTCAGGTAAGCATCTGCCAACAGGCTGTTAAAAATATGAACCCTTTCCCAAAACCATATTAAACATTTCCTCCAGGTATTCACCTTCTTCTACTTAATCATTTTTTATCATCTCATTTGTTCTCTCTCTTGTTCTAATTTCTCTCTGTTGTGTTTCTGTCCTTCAGCTCTGTGTCATTTCAGTGACAGTATCTTAGAGTACCTCGCCAACCTGGACAAAGCTCCAGACCCCACAGTCAGAAAGGACACCTTCTCCAGTGAAATCTATGCTGCTTTCGAAATCCTGTTCAATTCGTGGCTGCAAAGCAGGGAGTCCAAGGTGAGGTCACTATTGAGGGGTGAGCAAGACGATATAGTGGGTTGTTCAATACAGAGAAAGGTAATGTAATTTTTTTTACAAGTTATGCACAGAAAAAAAATGTTCGGAGAAGCAAAGCTTCTGGCTATGCTGCCAGTGAAAATGGCTTGCTTAAAAAAAGTCAGAATTGTGCAGAATAACTCAAAACACATTATAATGAGGATTTATTTAAAAGTTATTACCTAACCTGGCCATGAGAACTTCCAGAGACTCCCAGCTGCCTGATTACACACAAGCACTCCTAACAGAGACAAAATGACTCTATAAAGGCAGCATTCTTGGTGCAATACATTTAATTATTTTCTCGGCTTAAGAGAGCTGGTGAATAGAAATTGCATCTCCACCTTGAGTGAGAAAATGTGTATTTCACTTCAATGAAACTGAAGAAAATACACTGTGGGAAAACTTTATTTTTTCTTGTCCTTTTCTGTTCCCGAATTAGAAAATCAACGTGTTAACAAAAAGCATATTAGCCATCGTGTCAATCTGTAAGATTATTGTAATTCATCAGTTATCTGTGTTTATATTAACAGTAAAGTTATCATGTTTTTGTTTCCTTCACTCTTCACTTTTCCTTGTACTCTATCTTACCAAGTCAAACAATGTTCTCTCTGTGCTTATGTTGAACATTAGAGAAGGCAGGAAACCTATTAGAGCTAATTATTACTCAGTCAACTCGGTCAAAAAAGGGCACTGAATGTGCAAACTAAGAGTTCAAACTCTGGGAAACATAAAAGGTTCTCAGAAGTGCTTTTATATACGGAATGAATATTTGCCTTAATAACTTCTCTTGTGTTTGTTGCTGTTGTCCATTCTTTCCCCTGAAAAGTGAAGTGCGGAACTGTGCCGACACTGACACATTGTAGATTTAAGGTCAATCTGTATTGTCCTTTTAGAGATGTAGTTGTTTTTACAGCTAGTGTTCTCTTTTTTTTATTTCTCCCTGATGTAAACAATAATTAACTGTTTTAATAGCATCTTGCCAAAACGAATCAATCCACAATGTTTCAATGAATCTCTGTTATGTCTGTCACATGATATCCTGTGTTTCTCTTTGTCTGTGTTTCAGTTGAGGCTAACAGTAGCTGAGGCAGTGGGCTCCATGTGCCATCTGATGGCCAGCGATAAACTGGAGGAGCAGATTCCAAAACTGATTCCTGCCATCTTGTCCCTGTACAAGAAAAACAACGAGCACTATGTCATTAGCAAGGTGGGAATGAGTGTAGTCGACAGTTTCTGTCTCTAACCTGCCTTTTGGCTTTTAATATGGTTTAATGACATTTGCACATAAAGTATTTGCAACATTGCAAAATTATTAGTTTAAAGCTTTTTCTGAAGTAATTTCATGTTTTTGTTCTCTCTCCTTCACTTAGAGTCTTTGTCAAGTGCTTGATGCGTCTCTCAACATGGGCAGCAGGGTGCTAGAGACACAACTGGACTGTCTGCTCTTTGCACTGCACCAACAGGTACACATTTAGCATGTCTGTGCTGCTCCCGAGCTTGAGTAAACAGGGTGGCTGATGTATGACACACAGATGGTCTTAAAGAGGTGGCGCAAAGCCAATAACAGGCTCATGTAGACTGTGCCCTCCTATGTTCTGAGATCTAAAGCAGCTTTTGTTTTCTGAGTTTTCAGCACCCTTTCACACAGAAATAAGGAGATCCAACATATTTAAGGTGGTTTGTAAACTGGCAGGGTCGAGGAAGAATTCCAACTTTTAGCTATTTTCTCAATGACCTAATTTCTTAGCATTTTCAAAAACAGTTTATGTGTGATGAGGGTAAGCTGATTAGAACAGAGTAAACTTTAATTGACATGTTTGGTGCAGTAGTTGTAAGATGCATTGTGGGAAATCTGTCTTAAACACACTAATGCTGTCTCATTAGGTTTTTCTGAAAGGATGTCTTTTCTATAAGGTTTGGGGTTGTTTATAGGTCACAACGTAGACGAAAATAGAAGTCTCCACTCTGAGACGCTGAGCAGAAACACTGCTGCATTGATTTAGCTGTACCTTGATCTGTGTGATTTGACTGCTGACAGTTGCAACTTTCCAGCTGTGTGGGTTTCTATCACAAGACTGGATTGATGTCATACCATCTCAAATCCAGTTCATCCCTCTTTATAGACCTAACTGTATGCTGCGTTCCTTTGAATGGATCAAGTAGCTGTCATAGAGTCATTGTAGTCAGATGTTTTTATGATCTCGTGACTCAGCTGATGCTTGGCCTGATGCCTGAATGTTGCAACATTCACCCACAATGACTGTGCCCATGATGTGTGTGTTTGATCTGGATAGAGTATCTGAATAGAGCATATTTCACAATAATATAACAGTACGACTTATCATTAAAACATTGCACAAACCTTTTAACCCATGTCTGTACACCAAGCTGTACAGTTGCACATGTTGTACCTGTGTGTTACTCGAGTTTGAATTATCGGGTCCTTCAAAATCTCTTACTTCTTATTTCAAGCTCCAGTAAGTAGAAAGTTGCTCATGAGAAATGTAAATGTAACTTCTCATGTGTGACCTGGGGCTGTGAAAATAACATGTGCAATCAGTCACTTCCTTAGACAAAGTACAGCCACTATGAACTCATCACTGCTTATTCTGTTTCCCTCATTTTGATTAATACTACAACCTGGATAGAGATCAGGCTGTTAGACATCCTTCTTAAGTTTGTATGAACTTTTTCTTCAATTGTTATGATTTTCCTGTATAACCAAAGTAGCAGTCCTCACTTCAGCTGTATTGCGTGTAGGAGGTTGACACATTGCTGTTCCACAGTATTGTTTCCTTTGTCTCCCCCAGGTGTCCGCCCCTGTTGACTACAGCAACCCTCCTACTGTAAAGAACCACAACGAAGTCCTGCGCTGCTTCAGCTTACTAGGTACTTGTCCTTATATTTATAATATGTATGAATCTGGATGTCTCAAATCCCAAAACTTTTCTATTGGGTGGTTTTACTCTCCTTGCCCTAACATTTAGATGATTATTGTTTAAGACAGGAAAAAAAGGGAAAGTGTGGGCTTACAGCAGCGTCAGTCACTTCTATCTGTTTTAGTTCTGTGGAGTCACAAGAACAGTAATAAGATCATCCATTAGTGTGGCAGACTCACTGACCAGCACAAGATAATCATATTAACTGAAGCTGTCGGCCTACTTCTCTTCTCCTCTCTCTCTTGTGTTGCTTATCCATCATGTGATTTTTTTTCCCTCTTATTTATACATGTTTATGTATATTTCTGGGACACTCGATAAACTTCAGATTTCTCTCTCTGTTCACCCTAAATCTTCTCCCTCCAGCCAATGCCTTCCCAGACCGGCTAGTGATGTTTGTTCTTCAGAAGCTGGAGAACAGTAATGAGCGCAGCAGGGTGGGCTCCCTGGCTGTCCTACGTCACCTCATCAACTCTAGCAGTGAGTAGAAGCAGTGTCACTCCACAAACCCCCAGTGTTTGATTTGTCATTGGTTTGGCATAAAAGTACTCAGCAATTCATTGTGTCCTGAAATGTAACCGTTGTGGTAGAACTGGGCCTGCAGAAAATCAGCAGAAAGAGAAAACCCTCCGAACCTTGGGACGAGAGTAAATAAAAGAGACTTTCCAGAAACTGTTGAGTTGCTAAGTCACCCAGTTTATTACATGCAGCATGGAGAGAAGTTCAGCTATGCGTACAGGACACACAAAGTAAGTTCTCTGCCCGCTCTTGGGGCGTACAATCTTTGTATACTTGAGCATACAGTGTGATCGAAACTTACAGAGGAGGATCAAAGAAACAGGTGCAGCTTTATCTGTGTCAGCACCTTGTGGTCAGTGTATAAATATGTGAATGTAGCAGTAACTTGTCCTTGAGAGTTTAAAAAATAGTCCTTATAAGGAGCTGTTGTTGAGTCTGTGTACGTGAGATAAAACACCTGTGGTGAGGTGAGTATCGTGCAAGGTTCGTGTGTTGCAGTGGTCATATAAGGACACGGTGCATGTATACGTGATATGTGTAATGCTATGTGTAATGCATTGGATCAGTTAATGAGCAAACATAAAAGTATAAAGAATATAAGATTCCACACCGTTTAAATTTGAGCACAGTTGGACATGGTTGCCTTTTTTTGAATCTTTAATATGTTATAATAATATTGTTTGCGTTTGTTGCAGCTTCCACGATGGAGAGTAAGAAGCTGCTCATCCTGGCCAGCATCAGACAACCAATGGCTGACCACAGCAACAAGGTAACACACATGTCAACACACACAGCCTCTGTGATAACTGTCATGGCATTGTTATTTCGCAAACTCCTTTCTTTCTTTGTTCCAGGTGAAGAAGCGAGTGGTCCAGGTGATCAGTGCGATGGCTCATCATGGCTACCTGGAGTTAGAAGGAGGGGAATTACTGGTTCGATTCATAGTTCAACACTGTGCCTTACCTGACACGTATCAGGTATCACATCAGTTATTTTTTTCATTTTTAAAACACCACATAATAATGACCAGTTATCATGCCCAACATATTTTGTCAATTATTAGATAAAAAATACATTTCTCACATTCTCACTTTTTTGCTAAGGTTTTTGAATGTTCCAGTAATAACAGCTTTAACATGTAGCTGCAAATACTCGGATAAACTCTAGCCTTTGCAAACTGTTGACTTGTCGGGTTGTTTACAGAGAGCAGAACTCGCCTCAAACTTAAACTCTACAAATCCACGACTGGAGATATGTGACATCTCGTAGCTAGTACACTTAAAAAAAGAAAACATGAAGCAAACAAATACATGCATGAGGTCAAAGGACAGCACTGAAGATATATGCCAATTCATAGGTTGTGTGTGTGCAGAGGCCAAGCAGGAGTCAGAGGAGAACATCTGAGTGAATGGAATGTTGTTATTGATCTGTTTGTCGTTGTATCTGCGTTTCTCCAGCGAGGTCAGAAGCCCACAGACCCAGAGGAGGTCACTAACGAGGCACTGAGGACAATGTGTGACAACACCTTACACCTCCTGACCACCACCGTTGGACGACTTGCTGACGTACGACAACTCTCCTTGTTTACACATCTGTATTTGTAACCTTAGATGAACAAGTTAATCTGATCTCAGTTGATTGGTTGTGCCTTATGTGTTGTTTTGCAGAAATGTAACTAATGTACCTTGTTGTTTGTAGGTGCTGTGGCCAAAGCTGCTGTACTATCTGACCCCTGCACAGTACAGCAATGCCACCACTCCTCTGTGTAAGAGTCTCATAGTGCTGGGCACTAAGAAGAAAAATAGTCAGGAGCCCAGCTTCAACATAGACTTCACACAAGAAGGTAGGAGAAATAAGTACAGACTTACCCTGTTATTCAGTGCTTACACTGCTGTGTAGTCAAGGTTACAGCCCTGAATCCATAAAAGCTTGGATGCTGTTTGAAACAGAATTAAACAGTGTGTCATACATCACTAATCCTTTTGGATATACTCTACCTTGTCAAAAAATTGCAAAGATGAAAGGTTTATAGTCATACTGATAAACTGTCCTATTTCTTTATAAAAACTGACCCTTTCCAAATGGACGCCTGAGGATTTTATTTTATTTTTACACAGGATCCAATTGTTTGTGAAATCAATGCTGCAAATTATGAGTTTTATCAGAAATAAGGGATGTCAAAATGAATGACTATCACATATTTATTCTTTAGCATTGAGATTTGGGATTGAAATTTAGAGTAATTATTTTAGAAGCTATGAAGCTAAATGTGTTTAATGTTTTTTTTCTCCAGTTAATCTTCCCTCTCCTCAAACTCTAATGATCAGGCTGCTGGTGAGTACATTTACTCTATATGAAATCTTTTTAGTTGATCTTATCGAAGTCAACTACAAGCCACTTTGTGTCTAAAATGGAGGAAAAGGAGAACTAATGGTATAGTCCAACATATCTCACGATCAAAGTGTATTGAGTAAAAGATCGTTTGTTATTCAGAACATTTCTGACTGATGTCTGTTTGTCTGCATGTGTGCTTACTTTGCCTTGGGCTCTCCCAGTTGAATGCAGCATTCCCGTTTCATGGCAGAGGTCATGGAGCTCCGTCCCTCTCCCTCCTTCAAATCCTCAGCATTAACATTCACCCCAACACAGAGATTCTCTGGGAGAAGGAGATACCGCCTCTACTTTCAGTGATAGAGGGTATGGAGATTTGTGGACATTTTATCTGAGAATGTATTCTGTAATCTTAAGACGAAGATCCTTTGTTTTCATTCACAAGTAGTTCTCTCGTCTGTAGGCATTCAGTTTGACTGTGTTGTTATTTGCAGAGTCGACCTCAGAGAGTCTGGACAAGAAGCACTGGGATGAAAAGTTGCTAAAGGTTTGTTTTTTTTTTTGTTTAGGATATTATCTAATTCAATTCATGAAATGTCAGTATGTTGTGATTTAATAGATGAAAATGTAACTTGTTTTTATCCCAGATACGATTAATAATACTGTTTTACTCTCACAGTCATGTTCAGTGGCAGAAGGCTAAATGAAACCTATAACCTTTAGAGATATTTATTCAGATTTAAAGTTGTGTGTAAAGATATTACTTTTCATTATGTTGTCTGCTTAATTTGTCTATGTTGAAACAGAAATATTCAAATCTACTTTCATTGAGTAAAATGTGATTCTAAATGTGGTAAAATTGTCTACAGCTGCTGTCTAAAACCTTGGATACAATTGATGATGACAAGTGGGTGTGTCAGTTGGCAGCTGAGGCAACAAGATATCTCCCCACGTATAACACGGCCTTAGAGGAGAAGGTAAACCTTAAAACTATCAAAACAGTTTTACAAGAATGAAAGAAGAGCTTTTCTATTTGTATTGGGCCGTGATATGAGTATGCAACGGAAACCAGAAGGCTGATTTAATTTTTTTCTAACAAAACAAGTTTTGTAAAGAATATTTGTATTCGTGTGATGCAGACATTGTAAAGGAGTTAAGTCAGAGTTCACTTAAACTAGGTGATGAAAACAACTCTGTATCACTCCTGGGCATTGTGTCTACATGTACTGCTTTAGAAAACAAAACATATTATTGGCCAAATGATATATCTGTTGGTTCTAGAAAACTGTACTTGTACGTTTCTTTTTTCCATCGTCTCTAGAGTTTCCTGTATCGATGTATCGGAGTCACACTCCAACAGTGTTTCAACAAAGAGCTGGTTAAAAAGCAGCTGCAGGAAATCCTCCTTACAGCTCGTCACAGTGATGCCATCGAACGAGAGGTTGCTGGAAACTCATTTCTTATAACTATTGTCTAGTCTTGAAATATAAGACGACTTTACTTGATTATTGGTGTCATGTGTTTCACACCTGATCAGGTTTATGGTCTAACTGTTGATCTCTGTCCTGTGTGTCTATCAGGGAGTTGCGATGGGCGTGGGTCTGTGTGCAAACAGCCACTTAGAGGGAACTCTGGCCAAACTGGAGGAGTTTGGAAAGTCAGACGCCTTCAAGAAGTCACCGAGTATCTTCAACCTGCTCAAAGTACGAGGAAGGATTTAGGATTTCTGAAATACTAAATGATATTAAAGATGTTTCATGATTTCTGTGAAATGATTTGTCTTTTACTTCTCCTCAGGAGCGTAACGATGTGGAGATAGAGAAAGTCAAAAGCACTTTGATCTTGTGTTATGGTCAAGTGGCTTTGAATGCTCCTCCAGAAAAGATACTGAACAGAATAGATCAAGACATCCTTCGCTGCATCAGTAAACACTTCAACACTAAGGTAAAGAAACAACTGAACACGACTCTGTCAGTAAAGAGGAGTAATGACATGTTTTACTCCATGAAACAGACTTTCACTTGACTTCTCTTTCTCTGATTCGTGTGACTGCCTACCATCGGCTCTAGTTGATATATAGGTGCAGCCACACCTCAGCTCTGATGAGGACCTCTGGTTGAAACATGTTAGCTTTTTGATGGATTAAGCCATTTTAATAAATGCATTTGATGTATTTCCTTCCTCTTTTTTACGTGTTTCATGCTTAGTGTCTGGTCCCCCTCCCCCCTTTTTTTTAAATACCAAGTTATATTTGATGAACAGGACAGATTTTTACTATCTCTTCTGTGTTTAAACTTAATCTAACTAAAAACATTGTATTGTGTAGCGTATGTTTTAAGACCACCACAGTGACAGGCAGGCAACATATGATATTTTTAACTTTCAATTCCGATTTTTTGCTTCACGTTCATTTCCTGGCGTTGCAGTAAAACAGGCCTTCTGATTTCTCTAAGCTGGTTTAAAGGCAGCACTGATCCAGTGTGTGTTTAAAATGTATGGCCCTCATAAGTCAGTCCTACAATAAACATTTTGGGTCCTGCTGACGTGGCCGAGCAGCAGCCAGTTCAAGCAACGCCCCCACTCATTTGTGCTTAATTTCTGTGGTCTTGTTCAAAGAAAGAGAGGTGCCAATATTCATGAAGTTGATCCAAAGAGATGGATTAACAGGGCTGAACTAAAGCTCTTTGAACATGGTCATTTAGAACAGAGAAAAGTCAGCTGATCATGCTTATTCTTTAATTCATCATAATTCATATTCTGCCTCTTTGTGGTTCTCTGTATTTGTTTGCTCTGTTTTGCTGCTTTGCACCACACAAACAACAACAATGCTTCCTGGAGAAGATGATTCTTTATTGTTGTAGTGTGTTTATTTTACAACACACCCTCTGATCTTCTTCATGTTCACCTACATGATCCAAAACACAGTTTACCGTATTGATTATGTTGTTACATTTGCACAAGTCTTTCAGGTAGGAGGGCTGTATTTGTGTGTTCACTCATGATTGTATCACCTCTATGTCATACAGGTTCTTGGGATTAAAGTAGAGACAAAGGTATCGTCACAGGAACACTACACCCTTTCATCTTGCTCTCCTTCTTTAATCTTTATTTTCCCCTCTGATCTGCACTCCTGGGTGTGGTGTCCTAACTCAATATTTACTGAACGTTCTCAAATCAAGATGCACAGCAATGAAGCAGATCATTTTTCTTTAAAGGTGTAGCTTTTCTAAGTTATATTTCACGCTGGAAGAGCAATAGATTTTCATATTCATGACTGAACTCTCAGCACACTGTTCAGCACTTCTCTCGTGTTCACAGCTAAATCAAAGGCCAATTCAGGTCTTAGAAAAGAGTTGCACATCATTTGAAGAGGTCAAACTGTGTAGCAAAACAGGCCAACATTCATGCAAAGGTGAGTATGACGGAAGAGAAAAACTGTCTTCATCAGTCAAACGCTCTACCTCAGTGAAATGTAGCTTGAAGATATGCACCTCTAAAACATCTTCATGGTATCAAACACTCGCCCAAGAGGATTTCAGACGTGGTTGTGGAACAGCTTTTTATGAATTCGATAAACAATTTGGCTTTAATCTGCTTTAAAAGAGTGTTTCATTTTGGTTCCATCCTCATATCCACAATTAAACTTCAAACTTTGTACAATCAACTTTTTATAGGAAGTGTTTGATACTATAAGCTGGGTTTGCTGTGAATTATAACTCCAACACTCGAATGTGTAAACTAGTAACATGGTTAATAAGTGTGTGTTGTCTAAAGACTAAAGGTGAAAGATTTGAGATCCATACATGCCTCACTGTTTTATTTTGAAAATCACTCTAACGTTCCTAAATATAGCGCAAACTTATTTTGAAAATGCCTTTCAATTGTTTTGATGATGCTGGTTGGAGTCAGAGAAACAAGATGCCACATACAGTATTGATGTTACTTTAGATGGGTTTAGAGTAAAGTTGATTTTTGAGTAACCATTTCTTGTAAAGGTCGTAAATTGACTTTAATTATTTAAACTTGATTTTGAGCAAAGCTTCAGAACATGTGTAGTTCTTGCTGTTAAATTGTTCCGCCACATTTTGAATTTACACAGAAGTTCGACGTTGTGTCATTCTGTCTTTCCTTGTTTTATTGCTTTTTAAAATTCTTCCTTTCAAAGCTCTCACTGGTTGTTTCCAAGGGCTTGTGTTACTTCCTGCTGAATCCTTACAGCTCTTTGTGTCTTTAGATCTTGCGCTCTTCTGTCACCTCTACGAGCCGGGCTGTCGGTGGGTTTTCTGTTGAATGAATCTCTCCTAATCACAAATCTCAAATGTCTCTCCATCCATAGGCATGGAGTATCAATCTACAAGATCACTGCTGGATTGATTTAATGGCTTGATGAACTAAGCGGATTGATTAATTGATTAATTTCTGTTTTGCTGGATTTGGTTTGGGTTGTTTTTGCTTCTGCTCGGTCATTTGTAGCGCTGCGTCTGCTGAAGGGTGCTGCAGTTTCTCCTTATTGCATTCAACATCTTATTCTGTTGTTTTACAAATTAACACACTTTCCCTCTTGACCTAAATCATTGTTTATGTGTGTGTTCTTAATTTAATCTGTGGTGTTTCTTGTCCTCTCTGTTCGTGTTTCTGCCTGATTTTTAGGACCTGACTATGAAGCTCAGTTTGGTCCAGAGTGTGGGGCTCATAGCCAGAGCAATTGGAGAGTGTGTGAAGAAACAAGGCTACGTCTTCTCTCGCAAGCAGGAGCTCATTAACGTCATGTTGGTCAGTTATTTCACTTTGTTTGTCTTATTGCTGACATCACAAACAACAGTGATTTGATCTGTCTTCCTGCTGTTGTGTCCTCTGTGGTCAGGATTTCATCAAAGCCGAGCCTGCTGATGTAATGAGGACTCCAGTACGCCATCTTGTGATGACTACATGTTCCAACCTGATGTATCCTCCAACTGAGGAAAAACCAATGGATGCTCTTTAGTTCTCTATAGTTATGATCATATATTACTGACAATTTCATGACTTTGATATGATATTAGTTTACTCTTGACAGCTTGGTTAGATGGATACCAGGTGAAGTTCACAGAATTAAAACTTTAAGGTAAAATACAGAACATAGATATAAGAGGAAGCTCAGCTGGTGTAAGTTTGAAAACTGCTCTTTTGCACTCTCATTTCCCAGCGTAGTTTCTTTAACCAGTGGTGTTTCAGCCCACTGGACCCCGCTCTGAGTGAGAATGAGATCCATGACTTGCTAAAGGTGTGTGTGAACAGTGTGATGTCTCTGCCACCTGAGACGAGCACTCCAGAGAAAACTAAAGAGGATGAGACACTGGACCCCAAGCAGAGGAAGGTGAGATAAAGCAGTGATGTGTGCGTGCACAAACTGTCTACACTACATCTGCTCTATATTTGAAACTCAACCATTCCCTTTAATAACTCCTAATAATTCACTGTTAACACTCCCTCCTGTGACGAGAGACGCATAAATAACCTTTACAGCATGTAAACTGCTGTAAAGAAATGTGCAGTATTTGTAATGGCAGTCTTATTGTCACTAACATGTCCTGTGTAATGTGTTCAGGATTTGTACAGAGACACGTTTACTGCACTACAGGAGCTACTGAAAAGTGTCCTCGCCAAAGACCCCACACCTGATGGCCTACAGACTGTCTTCAAGGTAAAACATATTTTTAAAGACTAATCAGATCTTCACATCCTTTATCAATCATTGCTTATCATGTGCCAGGAAATGTTTGTATTATTGTGTTCTTCTTCCTAATTCAGGGTGCCATTTAAAAACTGAATAGTTTGACGAATGGATAAAGATGATTATTCTGAGGTTCTTGATATTTTTATTAACCATTCTGCATTAAAAAAAAATATATATATATACTATACTACTAATGCAATGACAGAGAATGATACGTGCAATAACCAAACAAGTTTTTGTTAAAACCTTTGGTGCACAGGAACCTGTTTCGTCAGATACATTCTGCTTAAATGTCATCACTTCCTCTTTTTAGCCCCTTAACTTGATTTTCTGTTGTGTAATGAAACAGAATAACCTTCATCAATAAACTTCAATAACGATATCGTACTGTAGTACTGTGCCATACACGATGTGTGTTATTTGTCCTGTGTAGCACATTGAATCTTGGTTGAGCTCCGAACACGACCATGAGAGAGAGAGAGCTGTCACAGCTGTCGCTCACATCCTGGCTAACTTCCTGGATAACCTGACTGTCAAGGTACACACACCCACACACACAATTCTGCATATGTGTCTTGTGGGTTTGATTTTTGACAACATATATATCCTGACCTCACCACCGCTGCCAGTTTAGATAATGGTCCCAAGTGTGTAATTCTTGTAACTCTTTCAAACTTATTCAATGAACCAAAGTGTTATTCATCATTAAACGCTGTTGAAGATCAATTCCTTCAGTGCAGATGTGTTTCAGCGTTTTTGTTTCACACTCATTCTGTGTTGTTCCTTTTAGTAAACTGATGTATTTATTTCTAGAACATGGTATCGTTCCACAACCTCGGCTCTCTGCTGGGTCGTCTGTCTCCCCGATGTTCTGACCCTCATCCTGCAGTACGCACTGCTGCTGTCGACTGTATTTACACGCTGCTTTATATACAGCTGCGCTATGAAGGTACAGAGACACAGAGTAAATTAAGTCCTGTAAAAGCTCAGGGCTCTATGTGTTTGAAGTCTTTTTGTAATAAATTATACTTGCAGATATTCCAGGAGTTGTCTTTGTAATATATATGCATATCTTTAAATATCCTCCTACTGTCAGGTTTCTCCTTGGACTATAAGGATGAAGCTGTAGACAGTCTGTTGCCCCTAAAAGAGCAACTAGAAAACCCCGACCACTCAGTTCTATACAAGACCTGCTCCGACCTCACCAAGGTACACTTTGAACCAATCAGCATGGCTGTCTCATTTATTATTTTATTCTTTTTTATGCCACTTCCCTTCAATCTGCTCACCATAATTTGGTCAGACAGCAATTGTGTAACATGAGTAGGCAAATATGTAACTCATACAGTTTAACTCTGGTACTGCTTTTCCTGTGTGTGCGTCAGGTGATGAGTAAGCGTCTGCCTCAGGAGCAGCTGTCCACGTTGGTCTTTATGCTGTTCGAAGGACTCGCAGACAGTCAGGCGAACTGCTGCAGAGCTTCATCTGTCATTCTGAATACGCTGCTGAAGAACAGAGGAGGAGGACTACAGGATCAGGTAACACACACACACACACACGCACACCATTTGACACAGCTATGTGTTTCATCTGGTGAGATCCATAATTATATAAACATTCACCATCTGACACAAAGGCAACAGGGTTATTGGATTACCTGACACATGTGTATCTTTGTCTGTTTCTTGTTGTCTCTTTTGTTTGTGTTAGGTCCCACAGATGCTGGAGGTGCTTCATGCGCGTCTGCAGAGCGTCACAGAGGAGCAGGTAGGATCACGTATCTGAACTATAGTAAAGGGGTTTTACATTTATTGTTCAATAGCACTCTTTATTTGTTCTTATTATGTTTTAATAATCAAGAAATAGAGGCTTGATTCAGCATATTTAGTCTTATTTTACATCAATTATCAGCTTACTGTTCAGTTATTTCTGACTTAAATGATCCTAACAGCTACTTAATAATCATCTGTCGTCATCGTATGTATTACCGTATTTTCCACACTATAAGGCGCACTTAAAAGCCTTTAATTTTCTCAAAAAACGACAGTGCGCCTTATAATCCGGAGCGCCTTATATATGGATCAATTGGTTAATTGGTTGATCCATACTGGTTGTACACGGCGCTCAGCGACACTGACTCGGATAATGACGAGAGGGAGCCGGGCATGTTGGATGCCGTACTCGCCCAACTGTTCAATTCGGACACTGAAGAAGAAGAATTCGAGGGATTCGTGGACGGGGAATGAACTGAAAAAGTGAGCTTTACGTGTTATACGTAACTGAACAATGTTGAGTTATGCACTAACGCAGGGGTGCCCAACCTTTTTTGAACCAAGATCTACTTTTAAAGTTACCAGTCTGCCGAGATCTACCAGTCCACATAGTGAGCCATAGCCTTTACCAACAGCCTACAAACGCATTTAATACTCACACAACAAACAGAAAATAATAAATGAGAGTTCTGTAAAAAATAATGCAGACTACAGACTACAGCAGGCTGCTGTGAGATGATTTTGCTTTTGTTAAATTAGCTGCAGACCCGGTGAGAGTGAACGGAGTAAAGTCCAACCGACTGTTTGACCGGGTCACGTGTGTTCCCACCTCGGTCCGTACGGATCACGGATCAACTGTGTGCTGTAGCACTAAAAGTAAAAAGTAAAAAGGTTCGCGTGGTGGCTGGCGCTCCAGTGCGCGTGTGTGTGTGTGTGTGTGTGTGTGTGTGTGTGTGTGTGTGCGTGTGCGTGTGCGTGTGCGTGTGCGTGTGCGTGTGCGTGTGCGTGTGCGTGTGCGTGTGCGTGTGCGTGTGCGTGTGCGTGTGCGTGTGCGTGTGCGTGTGCGTGTGCGTGTGCGTGTGCGTGTGCGTGTGCGTTTGCGCTGTTTGTTGGTGTGTCTCGTCCCCCGCGATGCTCACAGTCATGACAGCAGAGAGGAGCAGAGAAAAGTAGCTGCAGCTTCATCAAATGCGCTTAATACTCGTAGCATAGTTTCTATATATGACTTTTTGGTAAAACATTTACCCCCCCGGTTTTACCTGCACGTCATTGCGCATGCCTGCACTCTCTCTTGCGCGTGCTCTCTCTCTCTCTCTCTCTATCTCCGCCGCTCGCTCTCTCATGCACGCAGCAATTTCATGAATAAATGAAAAATTAAATACACACAGGTCGGAAGTATACTTGGGCTCCCAACACAGGTATCGTGTGTGGGAAACAGTGCAATGAGATGAAATTGAAATCACTTTTCTATTTTACAATTGTATTTCATATTGACAAAACATCTCGCGATCGACTGAGAATCAGTCAGCGATCTACCTGTCGATCGCGATCGACTGTTTGGGCACCCCTGCACTAACGTTTGAATTAGCGGTATCAGACTGTGTTTCTTTTACGTGTTTACAACTGAACAAGGCTGGGAGATATTGTGAATATGCACATTAACGTTTGAACAACGTTGAGTTATTGTGAATGCACTACGTATAAAACTACGTTTTGAGAGTTCAGAGAAACATCAAAGAAATAATTTATTATTTGGGGAAATCGTCTTATGTACTTTTGTTTTTGTAGTTTTATACGTTACGTTTTATACGTATTTATATTTATACATTCACAATATCTCCCAGCCTTGTTCAGTTGTAAACACGTTCTATTCTATGCGCCTTATAATCCGGTGCGCCCTATATATGAAAACAGTTCTAAAATAGGCCATTCATTGAAGGTGCGCCTTATAATCCGGTTCGCCTTATAGTGCGGAAAATACGGTATCTTACTTAACTTTTTACACTCAAATAACTGCTTTTCTGTGTTTAGGTGAGAGTGGCAGCAGGACAGACGGTACTCATCCTGGCTTCTCAGCATCTTCAGACTGTGATCAACACACTTGTAAACCAACCACTTCCTTATGACAGGTATTTACCTGGATCTTATTCAAATTAGACCTAAAGTATCTCAGCTTGGTCTAAATATGTTTTAACAAGTAAATACATTTACCACATTCTTAGATTATCTGTTTTTATTTTGTACAATTAAGACCTTATGTGTATTAAAGTCAAGAGGTTTTTTTTTTTTTTTCAATGATGGAGACTAAAAGTTGTATTTTCTCCCCCAACCAGCTGGATTAGTGAGATGTGGATGGCCTTGGGGGCCGACCCCATTGTAGCCAATCAGATTATAGAGATGGTGATGGAGAAGCTCGTCATCATGGCGCCGTACGTAGACAGGAAGGAGTCGATGATGAGAGGAGGGATGACAAAGATGGCCACCAACCAGCCTCTGGCTGTAAGACATACACACCAGCAAAGACATATCTATGCATACAATAGATCCTTTAAGTTCCAGATAATGATAGTAAACATGATTCCATTTGGTTGAATAAATAGTAAAGGAATGAACGTTAAAGTAATATGTTCCCATAGTTAAAGGTTCTTCAGCTAAGGTCAGCTAGATACTGTTTGCCCCTCATAAATGTATTTTTTATTAACATTAAGTTTACACAGCCCACAGAGCAGGAGGTGCAGGTTTAGTCCTACATGTGTATGTACACATGATGCATTCAGGGACACCCACAACCCAGTTCACATGAGAACGGAAGAAGGTAGACTTAAAATGCAAAACAAAAGGATACACCACAGCCTGTGTAGACATGCAGGATAATATGAGTGGGGAAGTCTGTTCCATCTTTGAGGGAATACACCTTTTTAGAGGGTTTCTGAACTGAGCAGCAACATGAACAGGAGCTGCACTTCTCATGTGCTAACATGTATATGTGTCTCTTTTCCAGATGACGTGTGGACTCAAAGAGCTGTTATTAAACGGTCAGAGTCAGGAGCCAGCTGTCAGCATGTTTCCTCAGCTCTTCTCTTGTCTCACTGTCAGACTGGGAGCAAGTGTCGGGGTCTATGCACCCAGAGATAATCACAATAAGAATGCCCCCTCCGTCCATGTAGCAGGGTGAGCTGTTTTTATTCACCTAATGCCAACTAAAAATCCTAACAAGAGACCTTCAGAGATCAGTTGTGTCAATGTTTATCTTCAGGTATATCCTTGTGGGCTAACACATTTAGGTTTTGTTTTTATGTTTCAGGGTAGCAGCAGATGCGCTGCGAATCTTGTTAGCACGAGCCCAGTTAGACGAAGTGATGAAGAGACTGGATGAAGATAACGCCTGGGAAGCAATGAAGGAACAAAATACACACATTACTGGAGTTGCACTACTGGCACGGTATGCATACGTACAGCAAGCGGGATGGGTTTAGTCTCTGATCTTAGTCAGAAATACAGTCCAGATAAATAAAAGCACTGTCCATTCTAACATCAGCCTGACAAATGTCTGCCACACAGATCACTAACAAGTGATGAGTGTGTTAAAAAAATCTAAATAAGAGATACTTTATTCATCCCTAGGGGAATTAGGATATTGCAGTTTCTCTTATATAGGCTTAAAACATGAAGAAATATAGGAAATATGTATAGAAGTTATATGCTAAATGTGTGAATTATCTACACCAGTTTTATACAACTCAAATATATAGAGAGACATAGTAATACAATAAGAAATACAGTATAAGCAATAAGTGCAAACATATACTGTAAGTAATTCATCATTAATGAGTGATGAGCAACATATTCAACACGACTTCAGGACTGTTTATATTGACTTTATAGATTGTATAAAATCAGTGTTCTTTATCATTAATTCAGGGTATAATGTTTGCGTTGATGTGGGTGTGTTTGTCAACAGGGCAATGGCAAAGCATGCTGGTCCTAGGCTGCCCTCCATTGTGGAGTGTCTGTGTCCCTCTCTGAACAACATCTACGAGTGCCAGAGAGTCACTGTCACAGCTTTCTTCTCTGAGGTGATGCACCATCAAATACTTCACTAAGTATTCACTTTGTTTTTCTGTGTTTGCAATGTGTTTCATTTCCTTTTTTTCATTATCCAGACTCCAACCGTAAGAAAAATGTTTAAACACTGACCGGAAATGTTGTAATTTTATTGATCTGTTACTGACCAGCAGATTGAGAACTTTATACTTTATACTTTACTCTTTAAAACAGGAAGTTTTGTTTCTCTTTCTCTGCAGCTCTTAAACCATCACGTGGTGACAGAGCTGATGCTGATAGATGTGTTGATGAACAACATGATGGAGAGGATATCGGATCCTTGTTGCACTGTCCGGATGTTGGCTGTACGGGGGCTGGGCAATATAGCCGAAGGATCACCTGAAAAGGTACATGGCACATGAACATACAAATGAACAGACACTACAGTATCTCTGTAAGACTTTAGATTCATTCCTATCTCATACAATCACTTCATCCTCTCACCAGGTGAACAAATATGCAAAGGAGCTGCTGGCAGCCATGAGTTCAGGCATGGAAGAAAAAGATGATCCTGGTAAGTAACTTAAATATAGTTTACAGTCTTGTGGTTCCAAGATCAACCCAAACTGAAAGTTCCCCACCAGAGCTTTGACAACAGAAATCTGGATGTGTTGACTTCTTCTTGGTAGAGATACTCTTTCTCATGACTGCCCTCTGATCTTCCTGCAGGTAAACTGATCACGCTTGAAGCCATGTCAGGTCTTTCTAAAGTCCTCCTCTATCTGGACAAGAAGAACGTCCACTTACTGGTGGTTTATATCTTCATGAAGATCAAACCATTCCTGGAAAGTGTAAGTTAAATTGAAATCTTTCAGAGAGTAAAGAGTCATTGAAGTGATCATGATTTTAAATGTGTTTCATGTGAACAGTGCAGGAGTTATTTTCTCTCACATCGAGACAAACAAACTACTTCACTTTATTGCTCTGTGTTGATTCAGGACAATGACGAGATCCGCTGTGCTTCCATCCATCTAATGGGGAACTTGTCTAAATTTGGCTCAGGAGAGCCTGTGTTCAAAGACCAGATCCACAATGTCCTGGTCAGCCTGCTGTTACACCTGGTTGATCCAAACCCACAGGTGGTCAAGGTACAGACATCGTGTATTTGTTTCTTTTTATTCCTGTGGACACATGTCAGTCATTGATACAAACATGGATCATGTTGTTGTGGCCCTGCAGGCGTGTAAGTATGCAATGCGAGTGTGTGCTCCTGTGGTGGGATCAGAGCAGATCACAGCCATGTTTCAGAACCACCTCCACGAAGAGAAGAGCCTACACTATGGAGAGTTCATCAACGACCTCACAAAGTACCTGGTAGGAAATATACACACACACACACACACACACACACACACACACACACACACACACACACACACACACACACACAGTCACACAGTCACACATAAACATGGCTGAATGGAGTTTTGCTCTTTCTTATAGCTGACCTTATCTGTCACCATCATTCTTATAAACTATGGCATGTATTCAGATAATTCCAAGTAAAGTGACCTTCATGTGAACGTCTGCTGCTTTAGTTGATATTTTCTCATATTAAGAAACAATATTTGACTGAACATTCATACTTGTTGAACATCTACTGTTTTGAACAGAAAAAGAGTTTCACGATCAACCTTTTCAAACTAAGACTAAATGATATTATAAAACTAAATAAGAGAAACTTAAAGTGTAATTTGTATTTTTTATTTTTTCAAAGATTCAGGACTTTCCTGGTATGTTGAACTTTTATCACATCTCAGTCATCCAATTCTTCAAGAGTAACTGGCACGAGGTCCGAGCGGGAGCGGCCATGTTTATAGGTATGACTACAACTCTCTTTAATCTACGTCACATCATCGATGTCTCCAACCTCCTGCAGCATATTCAGCTTCCTGCATCTAAATAACACGTGAAAATAAAACTAGTTAGAACAGCTTAGAAATATGTATACCTTCTGATTTACCTTCATTCCGTTGTGCTACCATTACCTCAAACCATTTCAATACATACTAAAGTACAAATTTATATCACATACTTTATTTATTTTCCATGCTGTTCTTTACTGTTTACATTCTCACTCTGTTTATATTGGCTGTGCACACAGCACCTTATACACCACAGTCATATGCAGCGTACATATTTGTTTCATGTATGTTTTTTGTTTGTTTGTTTGTTGTGTGCAAAATAATTTCTCTGCACTCAGTCCATGAGAAACCACATTTCATTTGGTATATTTGTATGTGGATGGATGACAATGAAGTTGACATGAATCAAACATGCAAGATGTTTTGTGTTTGTGTGTGCATCACCAGGGTTTCTGCTGGGGAATCTTTCAGAGGAGCATCTCTCCCACCTAAACATGGGGACCGTCACTAAAGGTAACACCCTGCACATCCTTGATTTCAATAGGCCCTGATCTCCCATCATAGTTTCAGGGGTGTAATAGGGAGATGTGTAACGCCAGCAGGCCGGAACAGCACTGTGTGTGTGTGTGCATGCCTGAGTGTATGTGAAGCTCCCGCTGTGTTTTCCGCGTCTTGCCTTCATGCAAGGTGAACTTACACACTGGGTCACTCCGCTGACGGCAGGACGTCGTTACAGTGTGGTAAATTCTTCAACTTGTTCTGTTTCTCATCTTGGCTTGACTGTTTTCTTTTTGTGTGTTTCTCCTCAGGTTTAGTGATGCTGCTCCAGGACCCCGATCCTGTAGTGAGAGCGAAGGCTGCTGAGGCCATGGGTCATTTCCACTGACACACACACACACACAACCAACACCTTCATACACATCTCAGTATGTCCATTAGTCAAAGACAATAGAAAGCCACTACATGAAAACATGATGATTGATGGGTAGTCATTCTGAAAGTAAAGACCAGAACCCAAAGAGGATACAATATTAAAACTAAAGCTTAACTTACAGATTCACACAATATAAACACTATTACACTTATACACACAGAGTCCATATATTCAGCTGTAAGGTGTGTGTAGCTTCTTTTAACTCTCGTACTTGAGATGAAGTGATCATTCTTTATTTTAGTGACCAAAGACTGTGTTCCTGTATTCAGAAAGAAATGTCTGTAGCACTCTGTTACATGACCAGAGTTATACTGTGTTGTACAAATGAAACAAAGAATCCGTCAACATGTTTCTGATGCCAAGCTTAAAAAAAACAGAATGAATGGAAGTAAAAAAATAATAGAATAAATATAGTTTCTTTAAATATGACTTATAGATGATGACAAGGATGCACATTTAAAGTTCATAGCGTCAAGTGTGTGTGTGAGTGTGTAGTTATACCAGCAGTTTGTGATTGTGTGTGGATGTTACATTTTAGTTTCATCATCTTTTTTAGGGATCGTTCCAATAAGGTATAGTCTTGAAGATGATTCCTCTGAAAAATATGCTTTCTTTTGTTTCACAAACCAGATCTGAGCCTCATAGCTGTTCTCCACAAAGATAAAGTAAATACTTTATAGACACAACAAGCTCAATGAAAGAGAGCTTCAGAAGGACTTCAACTTGTTCTAAGGTTTTGAGTCTATGATGGAAGTAATTATAAGAGGAATGGCTTGTCACTTCACGTTGCTTTGTCGCCCTCATCTAATGTCAGAGTGCAATAAACAGTAAATACTTCTACAGCAACACCCTCTCTTACTAGTAAAAGATAAGAGAATAAAACAGAATGTATTTTGTCCAGCCTTCGGAGCTGTTTCAAATGTGAACAGGCTTCATCAGAACAGATTTAAGACATTATCTTTCATCTTCTGCTCCTCCATTTCGGAGCCATAATCATGCTGTTTACATATCACTGCCACCTTTTCAGAATCATTCCAGTGTGGTGACGGTCCCAGCAAACTACTCCATTTCATTCCAGTGTGTTTGAACAGAAAAGTCCCGTGTAGCCACGCTGAAAAAATGAGGTTGTGCCAAATGTTTGATAAGATATATAAGAATAATCGCACTATGAGACGCTCTTAATGATTTTCTCTTTCTCTCTGAATGCACTAAATGTTGTTTCCATGTAATTATTCCAGGATATGGTTGTACAGTTTTAGGGTATCCCTGTGGATTCACAGGCCTCTTACTATCATGTAAATAACTGACTGAGTGTGTATTATGGAAGGATGGCTGTATATGTTTCCAAATTATTTACCTAAATGACTCCAAGGGGAGGGAATAAGGTAGTCCCTTATAAAATCATGGACTCAAGAACAAAGTATTGCTCCTCATGAAATCAATTATATTAGATGTCTGTTGCACTTTTGAGCTCTGCCGTTTCCCCGTCTAAAAGAGAGAGTTGATTGGAGGATTGAAATCTTAATTTCCTTTACATGTGGAGAACATTTTTTCTTCTAGGATCACTAATAAAAGATGTTTTCAGGGTATTTGGTTTTTCCAACTCGGAGAAAGCCAAATGTTTTCCATAAATTCACAAATGTTTTTTTTAGAACAGGTAATCAACAATTCAAACCTTAACTTCATTGTTGAAATAATAAAGGCTGCTCCTGGATCTGTTTTGGTTATATTAGTGGCTTGTGGCTTCCAGCACTTTGTGACCATGTGGCTAAGTTAAGGGTTAATGGTCAATCACTGCATTTTTCTCCGTTTTTTAAAGATGTTATGAACTTAATCTCATTGATGGGATTTTTCAATATTTTTTTTTAACATGCTGAATTTTTGTTACAATTGTCCCAGTATGAATGTCACATGAAGGTACAGTTTAATTTGTGAATGTTTGCATGTCACTATTATGTGTAACTGGACCACAGGAGAGAGAGTGGATGATGGCAATCAATGTCTTTAAAATAAAGAAATAAAGATCTGTAAAAACATTACTGCTGCTGAGTTGTAATTCTTTGGATTTAAAATTTAATATCTCATGTGGGAGTAATTTTCTCTTTGTCCGTAGGAGGGCAGCATAGAGCTAGGCTTTGTGATGATGAGGAAAAGCTAAAACTTTGAATAAAATGTTTGTGAATCATCCACTTGGCCTTGATAGGAGCCCAACCTAGAGAGATGTAGTACCTCAGATTTATCTTAATACAACAATAGAATACATTTGATGCAACTTAATTTAGCCTAATTGGATAATTTTTTCATCACTGCTTATTATATTTATTATCTACCCCCCACCCCAAAACAAAAAAACAACTACCATGTACTAAAATGAAATCGTTAAGATATTTGTGATGAACTGTAGCATGCATACTGTTTGTGTGATGTCATATGGGCTTTTATTTTGTGTCTGTATAAAGCGACTCATGCAAACCAGAAGTGGCATTATATGTATGAAATGAAAATGTCTCTCTTCGTTAGTGTGTTTTAGCAGCAGCAGAGCATATTATTTTCTCTTGAATAAGAGCTTTGTATACTAAGGACAGTCGATAAGACCGTCGTTTGCTTCAGAAAGGAGGACATTCTTTAAGCTGAATGTTGTTTTTTTGTTTGCCTGTGTGAGAGATGACCTTGGTTTACGTGGTTAATCGTACCTTTTTACATTCCTGTTGCTCTCAGTCGTGCTGTTGTAGAGACGAGTACGAGCTCTTTTGTTTCTTTTATTTGTGCTGCAACCATTTTATCTCTCTTTGTGTAATGTAGCTTGAAAGAACAGGACATCTGTCTGTAAACAAGTCTGATCATACACTCAGTGGATGCACGAGCTAACTCTTAAAAAGGTCGGAGGGTTGGTTATGAAAATGTGGGTGTGTGTGTGGGTGTGTGTGTGTATTTTCACAGTATGGAACAGGTTGTGTGAAGAAAGCTTAGTTTTATTCATAGGTTAAATCATATTGTATTCATTCCCAGACAGTGAGACCTGTCTTTTCACTACTTGGAATACATTAAACCCAACACAAAAGACCCTCGCTCTAATTTACACATAAATATCTTCCATGTTCCAAAGTATATCTTCATATCTGTTTAACACATTTTCATTGCATTAATGCACTCCATCATTCTCTGCTCCTCATTTCATTGGATTCACTTGGTGTCATAATATCTATTATGTTAAACCTCTTGTAAAGTATTCACACACTGTCTCCACAGCTCAGTTTCACTTCAGAGGAGAACAGATTGGTTTTACAGCAGAAGCAGCTCTCACTAATGAGTACTAACACAGATGGCTGATGATCATCTTTTCAAAGTTAAGATGTGTTTCAGAGCCACTTCTGAAAGAGGATTAGATCCGGTCTAATTGAATTCTGAAAACTGGCTCTTTAATTAATCTCCTAATCCTTGGAAAGCCTGATAGACATTGATATTATCCTGGCTTTTATGTTAGCAAGGAAACCATCATAAATATCACCAAATGCTCATGTAAAGACACTCCCAGATAAACGTCCAGTTTTTCTCCTGAATGCAGACGTACTGTAGATACATGAAGGCTCTGGATCAGCCCAACATCATCTTGCCCTCCTAAAACATATATCAGTCCAAACAACCTCATTTACTGACATCAGAGGAAAAATGACCATTATTTTGAATTTGATTAAATCTCTATTAAGAAACATTATTTTTTTTATCATCTGGTGATGTAAGATTCCTTTTTAATAATATTTTCATAAGGATGATACTATTCTACTTCAGTCTACAGTTTTTGAAATTGTAATGATTTAAATGTATATCTGAGACTCGCGGACATCTCATGAACAGAAGTGAACACCTGTGCTCCCTTCGACACGTCATGCGTTTTCCACACTGCTAGGGTTACTGTCGCCATGTCTGAAGACATGTTGAAGGTGAAAAGTTGTTGCTGTTTTTGCTCCTTTTCTTCCAAATCAGCAACACTCCTATCTCCATACTGTAAAGTTAACACCTGCTAGCTGTTACGTTGTGTAACCCTGCCGTGTTTGGTTGCAGAAGCTATGAAAATACTTTTTTCCTCATCTGTGTCAAATCAAAGTGAACTGAGGTACCAATCACAGACTGAAATCTCACTGCTGGTCCAAATTCTTAAAGACGCCTAAGTTGCTCATTAAGGTTCAATCTAAGGCCTTTGGTACATTCTGATATGTCTGTAAAGTTAGACACTTAACTTTGATCGCCAGGACTCACATCTCACCAGAATAGGGCTCCAGTTTATTTTGAAAGGAGAAGATAGATCCTCGCTCCGGTTGTGTCTTCGTATCCCTAAAGATCTCTTTAAATCCTTTTCATTCAAAAGAATGATATTGGAAGGATATTGTTCAATCTTGCAGAAGAGCAAATATCTGTCCAGCTGTCAATACATCTTAAAGCTAGCGTCATCAGTCTAGTAATATTCTAGAGTTTTCTTGTCAACACATTCTTGGAAAATAAAAAGTAAATAAAACCTGAAATTACTGTAGCATGAACACCCACTGTTATCAAAAACATATTGAAACCATTGAAACCCATCAGTTTGGACACACTGTTAAACCATCTGACACACACATGCACAGTTAGTTTATTTGGGCTCAGTCAATCTGCTTTCTAGAGCATTAAATGTGTATTAATCCTCTGCTGAAAGTAGATCCAAACCTGTGAACTACTATATATTCTATTGTACATTTTCTTTGCTGTAACTGAATGCTTCTTTAAAAAGTCAAACTTTATAAGTGAGTTTTTCTTTAACGATTTTAGTCTTTAACAGGAATCATTGAGCCTGTCTCACAGAGACTCACATTGAGCCACAGACAGGTTTGAAATGGATTCACATACAGTAATTTAGAGGTTTTTTTTCACAGGATTTACTTCCAAGAAACACAACATTGAATATTTTCAGACATTTCTGTAAATATAAATTTTGTGCTTTAATGTGTTTCAGACATACTGTGGAAAGTGCTCTTCGGGGACCACAGATTTTATGATTTGCCGATAGATTTTTTTTCCTCCTTTCTCGCTTATCACAATGCCTATATCTCCCTCTAGGGTTCAGTCAATTCAGCCCCTTTGGTTCCAGTAAGTGCCGTGCAAAAAGGGCTTGTTATTCTTGGGGGCGTTTATTGGTGATGTTGGGGGATGTAACTTAGGTTTCAGCGAGAGCAAGCCATGCCTTTAGGAGGAGTATTCATATTCCTCTGCACTGCGTCGTCCAAAGTCCATCCAGCCGAGGTAATCTCTGTCCTTTATCCTGTGGCCGGGGGACATACCGCTGGCTCTGCTGGTCAGGGAGCTTCTGCTGTGGTAGGGGGAGACTGAGGGAGACCAAGACAACACTTAGAACAGGAAGAAATCCCTCTGCTTGGACAAAACAATTATCACATCTATACTGTCTGTGTGATGAAAATTACAGCTCTGAATCAGGTTCAGTCATGCTGATTTGTTTGGTTTCTATTCTCATCTTTGTGAGCTCAGCAGGTCTAGCAGTCACATGGTGTTGACTTGAAGGGAAACAGAGAGAGTGAGGTCAGGAGGTAAGGAGAGGAGGGAAAGAGGTGAGGATAGAGGACGCATGGCTGGTAGAGGCAAATGAATGAAACAGAAATGGAAAAGACATAGCGAGGGAACAAGAAGGAGGTATGGAAAGATGGAGGGAGGAGAAAGAGGAAGCCAGAGGGAGGTGGGGAAATGGCAGATGGTGGGACACAGCATGACTGACGGCACACAGAAGGAGTGGTGGGAGAGAGAGATAAATAGTGAGACTATAGGAGGGAAATAAGCTGATGGGAATGTTTTGTGTAGGAATTATGGAATCAATGTGCTCCAATTACAATGTATACCTATCTATCCTTGTTGTTGTTTTGTTGTCTGTGAACATCAGACTGCTCACCTTTCCTGGAGATGAGTTTGGCCAGGAGCTGGCTCAGGCCGCTCCGAGCGTCTGCCTCCTCCTGCTTTTGGTTGTAGTTGGTCAGCAAGCCTGATGGTGGCGCCGGAGCTGAGCGGGCGTGGCGTGTGTGGCTGAGTGAGGGGGGAGACAGGCTGTCTGACGCAAGAGCCTCACCCTCAGGTCTTTGTGACTAGAAAATAATTAAACAGATCGGAAATGAAAACCTGAAATTACAACACTTAACCATGAAAAGATTTTACAGCAAAGTCCTAAGTCCACTGGTGTTTGATAAAGAGTCATGTGTGTATTTAGAGGACACGTGTGTGTGTGTGTGTGTGTGTGTGTGTGTGAGAGAGCTTCTGTCTTACCATTAGATGTGAGCTCAGACTCAGGGAACCACTGGACAAAGCAGCCAGCAGAACACACACACAGATTCCTACATTCATGGCTGTGGAGAGAAAAAAAAAGAAAGAAAATAAAACACAGTTAAAGAAATTCACCACATCTAATGCTTCAGATTTGCAATATCACTGCCCCCCTCAACTGTCTCTTTATCGTCCCTTTCCGTCCGTTAAAACTACAGTCTGTGTTTCTGGGAGAAGAAATAGTCACAGACAATATAGGTTTTGCAGAAAGCAGAGATAAATCTTTTCACGACGAGATTAACCTATAATGATTCAGCCGGACCCAGAGGCAAACATCTTATTTTTCCTTTTTACACACTCCGTCGACCTCACAGAGTGGAGAATGATAATTCAACACACATACACACATGCAGAGAGAGTGCATTGGTGTGTGGTTTGCTTGATGAATGTATCTGTCAGCATCCAATCCCAGAGGACTTGTACCAATTATCTCTAAATCTACACTTTGATCTTTGTGCTGTCTGCTAAACAGAGTTCACATCACAGTCATCATTAACATGAAAACACATTTTTTGAAAAAATCAAATAAAGCGCAAGTGAAATCTAATCCATATTTTTCATTCAATCATCATTTAATCTGCTTTTGTCTGTCTGCGTAGTTATTTTTCTTATAGTATTGTTTTGGTTTTAACAAACTGCTTCTGTGGTCCGAAGTAAAAAAAAATTCAATTTGCAAAAGAAAAAAAACATTTTATTACATTTGTCAGACTGAATTGCTCACACCGTATTTATTCACCTTGGTGGCTTATTAGATGTGATGAATGGTGTTTTGTGCCCGAACATTCCTCCAGAACAAATCATCCAATTAGACCAAACAAGCAACATGAGTCGCTCTGAGACTTTCAATATTCAATCACTCAAAACAAGAGCAAGCACACACTCAGGCACAAGGTAAAAAAAAGCTAATATCAAGCGTCAGACGCCCCATTGCAAAGAGTATCATGGAATAGTTTCACTTCTCTGTTTAAGTGAATATTTATATTCCCTCCTCACAGAAACACTCAAACACAGCCTGAACTCAAAGCAGAGCAAGAACATTTTGTGCACTGTCATTTGAAATGGTGAGTATACAAGTAATATTCTCTGAATCAAGACAATCATAATGAACAGTATCTTCACATTAAACCTTGTAACTCAGCAGTTTTAAATTATACCAATACTTAAACTATTATCATTTTATTTCTCTGTGTGTCAGTAATTTAATTAATGTAACAACATTTGTTTTTTTATTTGACACAGTGCTGGTTTAAATAGTCATTATCTTGATGCTAATATATTTCTGTAAGCAGCTGGTCATTGTCTCAGATTCATTATTCAATGGCTGGTAATGATGTGGTGCAGAAAAGTGTATGGAGCTCTCCTCTCCTCTCCTCTCCTCTCCTCTCTCCTCGTTTTTCTTTCAATCCTTTCTTCCTCTCCTCTCCTCTCCTCAACCTCTCCTCTTTTTTCTTCCTCTCCTCTCCTGTGTAACCTGAACAAAGTAAGTTTTTTTGTATTTAAAACTGACATTCTCTGTTATTACACTCTGATCATTATCCATCCTTTAATAGACAGTCATTTGCATGTTATCCCTGAATTTAATCATTTGCATAATCCTGCCTGTATTATTTGCTGCAACCCATCAGACAAAGAAAGTGTGATATATGCAAATGTTATATACACACACAATTTTGGTCTACAGGCAAAAAAAAGAAGAAACAGAATTATCTTGTTGTCATCTAATTATTTTTGCACATAACGTCAAGCAGCTTACTTATCATGCAACATTTTTTATGTTACCCAACTCTATTACAGTAATTCACTCATTCATGTTTGTCCTCACACATCCAACAACTGTACAGTAAGTTAAACTTCACACACTTGACTTTTCTGTTATATTTTTATATTTTCGCCTAAAACAGAATCTTAGTAAAGTTTAAAAAAAAGGTAAATAGATATAGATCAAGGCCAATGGATATATAGATGTATAGATGTATAGATATTAAAAAATATATTATTTGTGAAGAGAAAAAAAAGTATGTAAGTATAAAAAGTTTAAAAAAAATTAGACTAAAGGTATACTATTTTTGTGTTTTAATGTCAAGAGAAATGGAAAGTTAAAATAAAATACTAATTTAAAAAGCGCCAACCATCTTTACAGGAAAAGATATCATTGCTGCAGATGGAAACTAGAAACAACAAACTATATTTATTTAATGTTTTGTTTCTGTATTTCCTACCTGCAGTTGTTTGGGACCAGGAGTGGATGAATCTGAAGATGTAGAGATTTGTTCCTCCAGTGTTCAGGTAGGAGTGAGTGTGAGAAAGAGAGGGGGGGGGACCTGTCTTATACTGACACACAGGAAGTGGGAGGGGACTATACGGGTGGGAGGAGGCTGCTGCTGGCGCAGAAACTGACACCACTGACGCAACTGAGGACGCATACTGCCAACGCACAAACTCAATCGCAAACAAGCACACAAACACACACACACAAAGTAAATGAAGACAGGGTCGAGAGGATGGTGACAGCTTTAATGTCTCCTCGCAGGATGAGAAAGAAATAAAGAATATCAGAAACTTCCCTTAACAAAAAACACAATCTTTTTGGTTTGTATCAGTGAAAGAGATGTTTAAACCCTAAAGAGATGAAGATTGAGGTTTAAAAAAGGGAAAAGTAACACAGAATGAATATTAGTTGGTGTCTTCTGTATGTAGATTGGAAGGGAGACTGTATGAAAATCAAAAGAGGAGAACAGAATAAGTCCCACTGTGCAGCTTCAGAAAATTCATCCACTGTTCCACTGATTGTCTTTCTAATAGAGCAGTTCAGTGCCCTTCACATTTCATTTAGGGTGCAGAATGACTCTGACATTGTTCAGCTTGGGAAATACGTTTCTTTCTTCTGCTTTTCTTTCCTTAATATAACAAGCTATCACTAATAGAGTTCTGACAAAGTGGGTCTGAAGTGGGTCAAAATGTAATTCTGAAACTTTCACTTAACCTTTCTTGTGTGTGATGGATGTGCAGCCCCTGATAGAAAATTCTGCTCAATCCCATTCTTAAGAAAATGATTCCACTATGACGCCTGAATGTTCACCCTGTTTTGTAAAAAAATGCACTTAAATCAGTTGAATACACAATGTAGTCATGAGAAAGGTTTTGTAGGCCTACTTAATAAAAACAACAATAATATCATCTATGAAATATCCACTGCAATCAAATTCAGAAACACGTTCAAAACGTCTCAAATAGGTAGATTGAGTTATAATATCGCTAGCTACACGATTTACTGGGATCACTAACAGAAGCTACACTTAGCAGCGGGTACCTTGACCAAACTTTCTGCCAATTGCCCTGCTCAGAATATCCATTCAAGGGGTGATATGTACATGTCTGTGACGTCTCGCCTTCACTGTGAATGTCACAGAGAGGTGTAATGCTTTGTACCACCTTCGGAGGTAGTAACAGAGGTGTGACAGGGACAAGACGTGATCAGCGGAGAAATCAGGTGAAAACAGTGAAAGTGAATTCACAAACTTAGAGACCAATATTACGCCGTTGCAGAATCACTATGAATGGACTGGGGCGCTGGTGGTGCAGTGGTTAGTGCGCGCGCCCCATGAGCGGAGGCTGTAGTCCTCAACGCGGGCGAGCCAGGTTCGAATCCAACCTGTGGCTCCTTTCCTGCATGTCATTCCCCACTCTCTCTCTCCCTGATATCTGACTTTGTCCACTGTCCTATCTCTCAATTAAAGGCACAAAAAGCCCCAAAAAATGAAAAACATCACTGAATGTACAAACATGTAATGACAACACAGCCTTGTTATGGCGCTCACATTCTGAAAAGGACTTTATGAAGAACTTTTTCTCTTCTCACACAGTTTTTTGTACGTGTTATAGAGTTGTGTTTTTGTTATATTTGACAGAGATTTGTGATCCTTTGTTCACTGTTGACTGAATGCAAAGCTGGATGACGCATTTTTCACCTCTTTTTGTTAGCTTTCAAAAATGTGCAAAACACAAGACAATTTGGAGCCAGGGTCTGTGCAGGGCTCGCCTGGTGTGGTGTTGACATTCTGCCCTTTTTGATAACCAAAACTAAGATACTGGTTGGTACAAACCACAGGAGAAGTGTAGTAACGTTCCCTCTGCCTTTGCTAATCCAGTGCACATAGTGCTGGAGGAGTCACATTTTTCAATTTATTCCATTCAATAAAAAAATCAAAACATTCACACCATAGAGTTGGAGTAAAAGACGAATCCTCTTCATCATCCAAAAGGAGCTGCAGCGTAAAGGTATTCAGTCATCATTTCTTTTATGCAAAACCTGATCTGCTCTTAGGGCTTTGTGTGAATCATTCAAAATTATTCAGTAGTTCAGAAGCAGGCAAGGTCACCCGGTAAATCCAAAGCTTTTTTGACAAATATTTTCACTTCTTTAGCTTTGAGTAGCTCAGATCCTAAACTTTGACCTCCCTGGAGATCTGATGACTTCACTGAATAAAGTTAGATTGCATGCCTCTATTCGTCATGGTCTACAGAAGTCCTTGATGTACAATTTTTTTATTTATTAAGTTTATAGAGGGAAAAACTGAACCCGCATCAGCAGCCTAAAACAAAAAAAATATTGGGGTGACAAAATGTTAAGGATTATTTCTAAAAAGGGTGTCTGGTACTTTGTACTGACCGACTAAAGATGGATATCAAACTTTGCATTTATTTATCTACATGATGTAAAAAAAAAAAAAAAGAATATATGCAGCTTACCAGATCGTTTGGGAAAGAATATGATTTCACAGAGCCATATTTTTGAAGTGTTTTGATGTGTTTGATTTACTGTACGTGTTTCATTTGAACAGGCTGTCCGTAAAAATAACTCACGGGGTAACACTTTCATTGCTGTCTTGATGACGTGAAACTACAAGTTCTGACAGGGTTGTGTGTGTGTGTGTGTGTGTGTGTGTGTGTGTGTGTGTGTGTGTGTGTGGGTGATATTTCTCTGGAGTATTCTTGTATTTAGATGAGGCTAACATTAGCCAGGTCCTTGTCATTAGCAGCTGGTTGCTGTCATCAGCACCCGTCTAGCCTCCAATAGCCACATGTACAAACACTTGATTTAGAAACTGTTTCCCATCTCCGACCTTCTGATTGGCTAATGAAGTGCACTACACACCATCTAACTGTGTTCATTTCATGAATTAAATCATCTGAACGACACCTACTCCTCCCTGCTGAACATGATAGAGAACTCAACTTCTTGCTTCATCCTCTGTAGAGAATATTGACTTTTTTTCTTGATCCAGCATCTTTCACAATCCAATACTTACAGTTAGAGATACCCAGTGAACTTTTGGGTGAACAGAAAACTGAACAAATGAAACTCTACTCCCACCGGGTTGCATTGCAGACAAGTCTGTAAGCTTCTGTCTGCTGTTTGGAGAAAAACATCAAAAATCTTTAGTAAACAACAGGTGTGATGAAGCTATATCGTCTGTTATACTTTAATGTGTATCATACTTTCCTCATTAACTATCTTCCTCTTCATTCCTCTCCACATACTTTAAAACTGTCATTTTAAGGAGGTCATATTATGCCCTTTTTGGAGTTTGTATATTTAATCTATGCAGCGTTTCTGCGGACTTTGAATTTTTGCACATAGATGTGCCTAAACATGCACAGGACACTTGGAAAACACACTAAAGGGCATATAAAACCAGAAAAAGCATAATATGACCCCTTTAAGCCAATAAGATCTTGTATTGCTGCATCATCCTTCCATATTGTTTCCATTTGCATTATTTCATAAACCCAGCTAGATGAGGTTTATTTTAACTTGAGCAGAGAAGAAGTATGTTGGTGTTGTTGAATGCCGCTGTAACTTATAACCAAGCCAAATAAAGTGAATCCAAAGGAACCTGGTGAGCTCCTCTCTATGGTTTCATGTCTGTAAACTGAAAAAAGGATTTGTGTCTCGCCTCAGAGAGAAAACAAATATATGCCAGTTCGTCCTCACTCATAGCTCCTCCAGCTCGTCTTTATTTCTCTCATTCCTCAGAATGCAATTTAGCAACAGAGACATCCTCTTGAAATGACGCGCAGAGATTGATTTCTGAGTCACAGGAAGAAAAACATAGGAGAGAGAAGAAGATATCCTTTATTAATCCCTTGGGGGTGAGTTCAATTTTACACTCTGTTTTTGATGCTACACACAAAGGCTGAAATACACACACATGCACAGACAGGATCCTATGGACATGCACTAATGGAGAGATGTTAGAGTGACGGGCTGCACATGAAAGACTGCCTTGGCAGTTGTAGGTTTGGTGTCTTGCTCAAGGGCACCTCGGCAGTGCTCAGGAAGTGAGTTACCAGACAACATTTCTGACTTGTTCCTCACCGGGACTTGAACCCAACTCATGTCCCAACTGACTGAG